CTACAACTAGTAGCATAACTAGTAAAACCACAATGCTACTGCAAGAATAAACTAGACTAATGAGTTTGTACCTGTCTGTCCTAACCGAATAATAAACGTCATAGTACGGTAACTACTATTGAACCTGCATGAATTTATATGAATGGGACTAAAATGGTTGAACCGGTGCAATTCGTCCACTTGGAGAGTGATATAAATTGATTTTATTTAAGATTTCGTTCAGTTACACAAAAATGAAATTGCATAATAATGAGAGTAACATTTTTCTTCTTCCAAAATAACAGATTTGTTATCAACAGAATTAATATTTTCAAAGAAAAACAGATTTTACTTACTTTTCAAGGACTCTCACTGTAGTTAAGCAAGGCCATTTTGTGATCGATTTACCCCAAATTGACTAGCCTTGATTGCAGACACCTAAAAATCTATTTTAGCTTAAAATCGATTTGATGAAACAGCTCACATGTATCGGTTTTAAGCTAAAACTGATTCGGCCTTAAAATTGATTTTTAAAATCGAAATCGATTTTAGTTGATGAAACACCCCCTGATCAATTCTGTTTTACTTACAACTTTTTCCCCTCAATTTTCATTTAGGCATTTACAAAGCATGTTCACATATGCTGTGGTAAATGGCAGCAATTTATGCATACTGTACTTTACATTTTTGTTTCTGCTAACATATAGAAAAGTGGAAAAGGAACTTTGGTGTGTGCAGCACTATTTTAGCCCAGACTTATTTAGAAAACAAAAACAGTTTTGGTAAACTATGAGATATATGTGAACAAGCCTTTAGACCGTTTATCCAATTCTCATTGTTCCCTCCCCCCCTTCCCTCATCTCTTTTTGTCTATTAACTCCACTTCTTCATCTCTCTCTCTCTTTCTTAATACGTGTGTACATTGCTCTTCTTATGCTTTCATCTCTTGCTTCCCGTCCCGTGTTTGTATCTCTATCTGTCTTTATTCCACCCTTTCTCTCATCACATGCTTCTTACTTTATTTTTTTTTCCCCGTTCTCCACTAGTACATGTATTTGATCTCTCTATCTCTCTCTCTCTCATGTCCATCTCCAGTCTCTCTCTCTCTCTCTCTCTCTCTCTCTCTCTCTCTATTTCTTTCTCTTTATCTCCCCCCCCCCCCCTCTCTCTCTCTCTCTCTCTCTTTCTCTCTCACTCATCCGTGGTACCTTTAACTACAGTTAAAAATCAATTATTTCATTGAGACAGTCACATTACAAAGCTGATAGTAACAAAAGAGTATTCTATCAAATATTAATGTTGTTTTAATAGCAACTATACAGAGCTTACACAGTAGCAAAGGACTTATTCATCCAGAAAATACACATGAAACAAGAATGCACATTGATATTTACATATTATACAAAAATATGTTTACAAGGAGATTTAAATTCAAATAAGAGATGTCAAATTGCTGCAACTTATATTCTTTATGGCGAGCTTTCTCGTAACATTGAAAAATGATGACTACCTGATCTTACCAAGATCATCCCCTTAGTACATTTATCCAGGCCTCTACCCAAGCCCGACCACAAAACGTTTAGCATTCCCTTCTCTCTTTCTGCCCTTCTCATCATCTCTCCTTTTTTGTTCCCCTTTTCTATTTTTCCTTCCTTGATTCCTTCTTCTTTCCATCTTTCCCTCCTCTTCCTCTCTCAGTTTGCATTTCGACAAGAGAAAATGTTTTTTTTATAAGAAGACCTCAAAAAGAACATAAGAAATTCCACCCTTAAAGCCCCTTCTTCTTATAAGCCACAAAAGAGAATGAAAAAGTTGAGGGGCATCCTTTTAAAAACAGTCCTCAAACTCGTCTTGCGGGAAGAAAAAAAAAGTGAAGAGTCATGCCACCTCCCCTCTGACATGGCATCTCATGCCGCCTATTGTCTGGATCCACCACAGTTGTCAAAACCCATTGTCGATTTAATTGGTTCGGTGGGAGGAAGCGCCAACTTACCAAGGTTTGTCGTATCTCCCTCGAGGCAGGAAACCCTTAATAGATTACATTTTGTTCAGAAGAGACTTTCTTTTCTCTCCCCCCCCCCCCCCCCAAAAAAAAAAATCTTTATCAAGAGGATTATTCACGTGTGCATGTAATGGCTAGCCAACAAAAAAGTATTTGAGTTGGGTCATTCAAATACTGGATAATTGTGTGATTATTTGAAAGTGAGATAAGAGGCTATTTATGTATTCAATTGCACCCAATTCTTTTCCCTTGAATCCCCGATGATGAATTTAAAACATTCACCTGTTGTGTAAGATTCCTAGGGATGGAATTCATCTTGCATATATTAGTTTGGACTATGTAGGGCCTTTCTTTTGCAAGAGTTATGATATTGAAGGATTTTTTTTTATTATTAAGAATGTATCAAGTTTGGATACATTTAGTAAATTTAAACAAAACCAGTTTCCTGCTTATCACACTCAAGATCACCAAACATCTTCAAAACTATCGAGATTGGTTTCACTTTAAAATAGTCCTCTTTGAAATAACTACCAACTTGAGCTATAACAATTCTCAAATTCATGAAAGGACGATTTCAGACCCGCATGACTTTGATTATCCATTAATGAAAGGAGAGATGGAGAGATGGAGAGAAGGTTGGAACGTGTTGGAACATAAAAGAACAACCCATGACTCAGGTTTAGTACCGTTCTTTCTCAAACAGGTGGATGCCAAAACACATTTACTTCTCAAGCCTCAAGATTTGTACAGATTCACTAGTGACTAATTTGGTTCTCTTTTCTATCCAGTAATCTCGTTAACAGACGATTCAACTGATTTGGCAACACTGGAAATTAAAAGTTCTCGCGCATGTGTCAGGTCTGGGAATTTCTTGTGATGTTAAGTGATTTGGAATAAGTGCAGATGACGAAGCAAATCTCCAGCATTGGGACTACTCCGAAATGCAACATCAATTGATATAATTACATTTGGATTCCATGAAAGACAAAGGTTTGAAGGATTTGATATAATCTTTATCACCTTGGCTTGTTCCTGGATTCTCCCACCTAATACGGGACCGATTCAAATTACCAGCTCACATGAATGCAAAATCTGTGTACATATATTAGAGGTTATGAGCTGTTTCAACTTTCTATGACCAAAATAAAATGTCTTGTGGGAGTGGTGAGATCACAAGGACACTGGCTTGATAGTTACAAGGTCCTATTACTTGTATTTGTGTGTTCTGCAACAAAGGGGCATACATGCAGCTAGAGCATTTTAGATAATGAGGAGGGGGGGGGGGGGTGGGGGACACTAGCAGACAAGTTTTGCATCTTTTGATTTACAAACGAGGGTGAAAAAAGTTATTTGCTAACAATTATGGATTTGTGAAATCACTCTAGGGGTGTTGGAATATTGGATCAGTCATCTATGAAAGTCACCTTCATGCTGTTCATGAGAATGCAACATTCTCTTCTATTCCATAACCAACGAATACATGAAAAATCCTCATAAACACAAACTCCTCTTTCAATAATATCTCAAGGGACATACTGTACAGTATTGCTTGAAATAAAGTAGACACCCTAACACCAAGTCACACAAAATTCTATGGAATAATGCATGCAGTCACATGTGACACGGTGTGAGAGTGGTGTGAGATTATCTACTTTATTTTAAGAAATACTGTACATTTCACAATCTTATAAATATTGATAAAGACACTGACATTTAGTTGTCAAGAAATTACAGCTTTATGTACATAACAAATATTAATTTTAACAAAATAGGAAAGTCCCCCATTTTTACATTTTATGTGCAAGGAAGGAAAATATGAATTGTAGTACTTGTTCTTTTCTGATTCAACCTTTCTTCCCATCAGATACATCCATAAAATTAAACTAATTACCTATGCTAAATCTCTGAATGCTACCCACTATAATCCAATGGTTTGAAGTCATCCAATGAAACAATTCAACCAGAAAAGAAATGCTACATTCTATATAACCTAACGATTATGAAATTACTCCTCCCAAACATGTTTTACTAGAAAATGATTTACTATAAAGCATCACTGTCCTAAGAAATTGTCACTATACGCCACTATACGTCAATAAATACATTACAACATTTAAAAAAAGACAAATTATTCAATTTCAATAAAAAAAAGAAATCCTATGGACTGTAGGGGGGGGGGGGGGGGGACAAACTTACAGGAGCTGGGAAATGAAATTCCAGGCACAAGGCCTAAACAAATTCTCCATGAAATATGAACTTGGCATCATGAAGAATAACAAGAGGATTTGGCCATAACATGCCTACTCTCGACACCTGTTTAAAATAGTACATTTTATGAAAAAGTAAAACGTAAAGAGAAGCTGATGATGGGATTCAAAGGGAAAATGGTATAATAAATGCAGAATATAGAAATGTACTTCGGATTTGTCAAGGAAAGTAGAAACTATATCAAAAAAGGGTGAAAACTGAAAACAATGAAAGGAAGCTGATAAGAAGGTGTCTGATCTATTAACAACAATTATGGTGATCATCAGCACCGTTCTGTAGATTAATTTCTCCCAAAGAACAAGGTGTGCACTCATGCCTGCAATTTTATATACATGAACATGCATCCGAATATGCCACAACCTTTCAAAGGACAGAATCTTTTCAAACAATTCATCTGTTGAGAGCCAGAAGGGAGATATTAATTCATACATTCAAGAAACATGGGTAACGCCTTTCTGGCTCTCAAGAGACTATCTTTTCTTCTTGGAACTGAACCCTCTTTAACTCTGTTCATCCCATTCCTTTAAGTTTAAGATCCACAGACAGAAAAATTCCAATAAATGTGTTAAAGAATATTGATGCATAGCATCCTGCTACTCATTTTCTTCCCAGGAATGGACATTAAATGTTGCAATTAAAGCATTGACTGGCAAGGCTCCATAAACACCTGGGGGGGGGGGGGGGCCTGGGTATGTGGGACTTTGCCAATAGCGTGTCAGTTTTCGGTCCTAACAAGTCAGCCAGCTTTTCGCTAGCATCTTGGCTTGAACTCAAAATGGACAATCGCTCCACATTTCAACATGTCTGTAGCTTCACTGACATACCAATTATCTCCTGTACTTAATGTCTGCAGGCAATTGACTGGCATACCAGAAAGTACAGCTCATTACAAAACAAGTCAAACCACATAAGGAGTTACATGCACAAGCATATTGCTCTTCAATGCAATATTTTTCCTTTCCAGTAAAACTCTTGCGTTGAACATTTTTCCCCAGAAACAATTACATCAAGGTTTATCTACACCATTCTTGCCAAGAAAGTGTAACATTCAGACACATTGTTTGAGCAGGGCTAGAATCCCAAGAGATTTATTCAAAGGTCAATTGGGGTCTAGGTTGCATGATTAACATTTTCATGTATATTTTACAACAGAATTAATCCAAAATGTATCATTACACCTTGAATGATTCATTCATGATTCATTCATGGGGTGGGAGGGGGTATTTTTCAAACTGTTAAACTTTTAAGAAATTGTTACAGGCAATTCAATACCTTAGAAATGTCAGTTCATCTGTTGGAAAATTCCTATACATTGGAAACAAGAAAACTGTCACTCAAAAATGTCAATGCTTTATTACGTCAGAAGAAGGCAACTTTGCAACTTTGCTAAATGAATTGAAATGCTGACTTCCTTAATGTTAAACATAGAAAACAATTTAGCATTTCATTTACAGCAGAACATAAAGTAACAAACCTTGGTATAAAAATACATCCACCTTCAGCATATCAATTGCCTTATTTCATCCAACACTATGTTTGGGTTGGTCCCACATACTTAGCTAAGTGGGGTTTTCTAGACGATATTACATGTTCATACAGCACCAGTTCATATAGCATGCAGGATAAGGTTTAACCTTGGTCAGCTCTGACTCTTGAGTGTGTTTTGAGTCAAGTGGGCATGGAATGTTCTCATGGGGGATAATCATGTTCTTGCACTGCGTTCAGTCTCGGCTAAACACTCTCTGACAAGGGCCTTAGCATGTGTGATACCTGGGTAGGATTGATAAAATGGATATAAAGTGTTCACATTACATTTCAGTTATTATGCTGTCGTCATTATCATCATCAGTTGCTCTGGATTCACAACGAAAAGGTAACAAAGCACAATTAGAAAACAATATCATATCAAATCATGTATGAAGACAAGACAATAAGCTAAACATTCAGTTGTCACAATCATCTTTACTTGCAAAAATACCTCTATGGTTTATCATTTGTCACCAGCACTATCAAAGATTCCTTATGTTATAAAGATTGCAAGGTCAAATTTGTTTGCTCTGAGAAAGGTGTTTGGCAAATAAGCGGCTGTACAAGCATTATTATGAGCTACAAGATCCTGATGGACAGTGAAAATATGAAAACTATCTTGTGACATCAGTTTTCAATGTTAGGTACATTCTCCAAAAAGAACGTCATTGTCTGTATCCCATGGTTAGTAAAACCTGCTTCAGCAAATACCACTTTTTTTGTTGATGTTTCCCTTGAACAGTGTCTCCTGAATAATATTTCACATAAAAACCTCTTAAAACAGTGAAACCTGTATATAAAGGCCGCCTAAGGGAGACAAGAAAAATGGCCTTTATAGGCAGATGCTCTTTATGTATTATAGGTTCCTTTATTACAGGTTTCAATGACAAACCATTTTCTAGGGAAACAAAAATGTGGTGTTTATAGACAGGTGGTCTTCCTATACAGGTGGTTGCTAAAGCAGGTTTGACTTTAACTTGCTCATTCCAGATACTCCAGCCCCCAAGTGCTTTCAGACTTATAGTATTCAAAGGGTTGGGTAACCTTTAAATAAAAACCACCTGCCTACAGGGCTACTTTTCTTTCAGTGGTATTTCTATACAGGTTTGACTGTACAATCTCCAGACATTAATCCAATTCAAGATCTCGCAAATGTTGGTACATCCACATTACCTCGTCTTAACCTCTCCGTGGCTGTTCTGCTGCCGGCATACGTTGGTCTGATATCCCTGCCCATGTCCTCAATGACTGCTAGCAGCTCGGCATACTTGCTCTGCGGTGCTGAAGGCCTCTGCTGTTGAAGCTGCTGGATCACCGCTGCTGCATTGAGGGTTCCTTCAGAAATGGGAATTATACAAAGATTACAATGCATGATTTCAAGGGACCTGTTTCACAAAGCCTTTTTTCAATGACAAATGAAAAATATCAGTGACAAATCTGCTGATAACCAATCAGAAGCAAGGATTTCAGTAGCTTATAACAACAACTGTCATTTGTCACTGATGACAAGTTTTGTGAAACACCCCCAGTTGTACAATACATGCTTCTCCAACAAGTGCTCCACTGTCGATTTCCTATGCTAAACAAATTTTTCCTGGGTAGCACTTGACATATCCAACTCCCCCCTTATTATTTTCCTTATCCCCCTATCCCTTCTTGGGACATGAACTAATATTTAATCTTACATGGATGCTTTATAAGAAGGTGCATACAGGTGGATAATACAGTTTTGTGAAATTGATGATTTTTTCTTTTCAAAGGGCATTGGTCTAGAGCATTTGCAGACCACACTAGCTAACCACTGATTTATTACATATACTTGGAGAAGATCTATCCTAAAAAGTGTTATTTTGAGATCTACACTGTACCCTGTATAAAAAAAATACATGGGGGCTCAGGGAGAAATAGCCCCCGAAAATCAGAAAAGAGCCCCCGAAAATCAGAAAAGAGCCCCCTTAAATTTGCATAGAGTTCAATACAAAACAAATTTTAGGATGTTATTTTCATGCAGGCAAGGTTGAAAAGTAGCCCCCGAAAAATAAATATTATTTTTTTCCCTGATTAACCCAATGGTTAAAGTGACGAGAGAGGTACTTTGATTTGAGCAAACAAAATGTCTGAAGGGCTTTACAATGATTTGTTTTTGTCTGAATCTACTTAAAGCCATATAGAGTAGGCCTAATATGGAGACCCTACAATCTCACTAAGATATGAAAACATCTTTCATTTCCCCTTGAAACGCTAGCGACGTACAGTGTACATAATATCAAAATAGCGAACTGATCATTAACAGATCATAAGAGATACATTTATTTATCTATTACTAAAACAGGAGAGCCACTAAGAGATAAGATACTCAGTAGGTAGACTTATTAAACTAATGAATTTAATTTAAACGATCAAAATAAACTTAACATTATCCCTGAAGTAGAAAGATTATCGGTTCAAATGAATTATTTCATGTACGTTATCCAAATCCTGTAGATTTCCTCCAAATTCAGAGGAAGGGATACACAAAAAATCTTTGCCTTTGCAAAAGAAGGAACATGGTACAAACAGAACCAATGACTTTTCTCTTTCTCTCTCCCTCTCCCTCTCCCTCCCTCTCCTCTCTCTCTCTCTCTCTCTCTCTCTCTCTCTCTCTCTCTCTCAGAATGTACTCCAAGACACAGGAAACAGGATATCTGCAATTTCCAAGAACATCCTGGATTATAACTGGATTCTTTCAACACCTTTCATTTGATCTTGTTTTGCTTTCATTTTCTTTATCTGTGTACGATGAGTGCTTTTTCAGCATGATGGTCATGATACTAGATGGATATTACATTATAGTCATTCTTTGAGAAGCAACATTGATATCACAGACATGATCCTTCACATGTTACCAAACAACAAATTTCTAGTCGAGTTAAAAATATATGACAACAAAAGGTCTCAACCACAGTATACCCCCAACCCCCCCCCCCCCCTGTCCTTCCAATTTGTGCAATCTGTACTTTGTGAAACCCAAATGGTGCAGTTGCACCTAAAGCCGTCAGTCCTCTGGTTGCTTGTACCTCACACACAAGCATTTATGCTTTCTTAGCAGTCAGGTAAAATAACCACCACTAAAACCACTAACCACCACTAAATTCTAATTGATTGAAATTGGACCTCTGAAAGAAAAATATAAAACAACTCACCACTGAAAAAAGGCCTTCTATCTGTTCTTGTACTGCCTATCATGTAATTATCAAAAAGTGAAAACTAGTGCTCTTAGACATGTATAGAAAATAATAATAACAATAATAATAATAAATACTTATAAACCGCACTTATCTAATAACTTACTCAAGGCGCTATACAAAACATAATACACAAATGAGGCTCAAATCCAAATTGTTCATGATTTTAGCTACACACATGTGACTAAAAATGGCTCATGGCATGGACTGTCAAATGAAAAGGTTAGATGTCATTACTTTCATGCTCAGTGACATATTCCTTGGATTATGACGAATCAGTGACATTTATAAACTCCTAAACGACATCTTGGATGCTGCAAAGACTGCCTTTTTCAATTATGGGTAGGAGTTCATGCTACATAAAGGTAGACAATCACATAGCTCACATGCTTGCAAATCTTTTAGGAGGGAGATACAAATAATGGCATAATTTGGGTTTACCTCTTTTCATGAAATGGTTGTGACAACATGATTCATTCTTTATAGCTAAAGTTTATATTTTCTTACAAACATTATTGATCAATAAAAGAGTCATACAGATTGATCAGTGAAGTTCTGAGAAGATATACACTTTATCTATCAAGAATAAACCATATTGTAACAATCATTTCATTAAAAGAAGTACCAAAAAAATCTGACTTTGTGGACAACAATAATATATATGCATGTACATGTACATATTAAGTGAATTCATACATGTACATGAAGATTACAAGACTGGTGTAATGTCATAGAAATGATAGAATCATGCAAATGTAACATACCATGCTCCTCTTGTTAACAAATGAGAATAAAATTATGGCTTTAAAATGTGATGCAGGGAATGAACTAAATAATGAATTGTTCAGCAACATTTTCTGGCCAATGGTAGCGGGATGATTTGAAAAAAACGTTAATCTATAGACTTTCTCCATCAACAGAGTTTAACAAAAACCTTAACTTAAATCCACTTCGTTTAAACAATGTATTTGAATTTTAAAAAAGGAATATATAACATTCTGATGATAATTGATCAAATCAAATATTAAAATTAAAAAAATGGTAGAAATCTTTCACCTGTAGACTAATTAACACTTTCATCATTTCATGAGTTTGTGTGTGTCTAAAAAAAACAATACTAATGAAAGAGAACGATGATGATCAAATAAAAAGTGAATGGTATGAATTGTACAGAATAATGTCAACATAATGGAAGGGAAGCAAATAAAAGGTGAACAAGCAGAACATAAATACCTTTGCTTTTGGACGCATGCACATGAGTCCTACCTCCAGCATATGCTGGTTGAGCCGAAGAAGAATGACCCTGCTTGACCATCAGGTTTGTGGGCATCTCCTGGGCTTGGATCATCTGAGGATTACCCCCTCCTCCTCCGCTGCTGCTGCCCCCTCCTCCCATATGCATGGCCTGCCCCCCGCTCATGATGCGTCCCCCGGCCCCCGCAGAGGACACGTTCATAGGAGTCGCTGCCATCTTGGACGAGTACGTTGACGAGGACGATGACGACGGTCCAGGGATGCTAGGGACCACTAGGATGACCGGCTTCTTGTCGATCTCAGTCATGAAATGTTGTGCCCCGCCCTGCTGCTGCTGTTGATGAAGGTGTTGCTGCTGTTGGAGGTGATGGTGCTGTTGCTGCAAGTCCAGGAGCTCTAGCTGATCCTGTGGCGGATAGAGCGAGAAGGGGTAGTGATGATACATCTTATGCGACAATTGCTACAGGCAGGATTATCTTTATTTAACAAAGTGTTATTTCCGTCACGCCGCGAGAAGATCCCTCTTTTGTGGCCCCCTTTGAGTAAACTTGGCGACTTAATTGTTGACTATAATTAGAACTGCCCTCCTGGTGGTGCTCTCTGCGCTGGAGGCCTACTGCGTCTTGACTAGCTCTTGGAAACTATGAATGTGACTGAGACACATGATGTAGCTAGGGTAGGGGATATCACTTGCACACTCCACGAGTGCTGCTGCTGCTTCTTTTAGTGATGCACACAAATGTGGTTTGGTGAGTCATGACCAGCACTCATCACGTCAATCAAGACCTAGGAATATTTCTATGTCTGGGGAATATTTGAGCCACTTGTTTAAACAAGCTGTACAGTTTGTGTTACCTCCACACAACAGGACATGCATATTAAGTGTGCCCTTGTTTGCCCATCCCCGCCCCCTTCCCGTATAGTTATTTCTCTCATGACTATTTCATTCTCTCTGTTCTTTCATTTCCACTATTAGCACCAGTATGCTCTCCTTTCCTTCCTAATATTCTTCCTCATGCATTCCCTTCTCTTCCTGTATTTTTTTTCTTCTATTCCCATTATTCCCTTTCTCTCTCACACATACTACATGTATTTCCAAATACACCTCTCCCTCTCCCTCTCCCTTTATATCTCTCTTCCTCACTCTCTCCCTTCCTCATTCCCAACCCCTCTCTCCGTCTTTCTTCTCTTTCCTACTTCTCCCTCCTCCTCTCCCTTCCTCTTTCACTCTCTACCCTATCCCTGCTATGCCCCTCTCTCTGCCAACCTCTCTATCTTATATGCATCTTCTTTACACTTGCACACCTGTCTTTACATGCAGAAATCTCTAAATAATCATGTTAAAACTTACGTATACAAATAAATAGCATTTTACATGAATTAGAGAAGAAGAAAAATATTGAGAGACAGAGAATGCTCAAAGGTGTGCTTTCAAAACTTAAGCAGATGGGTTAAAAGAGAAGAGAAGAGGAGAGGAGACAAAAAAGAAGAGGAGACAAAAAAAAGAGGAGACAAGGGAGAAGAGAAAAGAACAAAAGAGAAGAGAAGAGGAGAGGAGAGGAGAGGAGAGAAGAGGAGAGAAGAGAAGAGGAGAGAAGAGAAGAGAAGATGAAAGGAGAAGAGGAAAGGAGAAGAGGAAAGGAGAAGAGGAAAGAAGAGAAGAGAAGAAAAGAGAGAAGAGAAGAAAAGAGAGAAAAGAAAAGAAGAGAAGAGAAGAGAAGAGAAGAGAAGAGAGAAGAGAAAAGAATTGAAAAAGTAGAGAAGAGAAAAGAAGAGAAAAGAGAAATTAAATTTTTTTTTTTTTAAACAGTGTAGTAGAAAGCAGTCACTAGAAAAATAGCTCTAATGAACAATGTCCTATTTGAAATAGTGAGCCAGTAACACATTTCTTCATTTCCCCCTAATTCTACTTCCATCCATCAAACTCATTTTTGGCCTACATATGTTATACATATACATATGCCACTACCCACCAGAAGATGGCAGTCTTCAATATGCTACCCATAAATGATTAATTCTTTATTTCTATACTTTATGAATTGAGTTGTATTTTTATGTCTACAACATGCCTACATTCTAAACATTTAAAATTAAAAGAATTAACACAGTACATGTAACAAATCTTATACTTACAAATGAACTTGAGGATCTGGTTAATATAGAAAACAAATTCTCACATTATCAAATGTAACTTACACTGAATGTTCAAGATTACAAATAAATGACATGTGCCAAACAATTTTGGGTGAAAATGTATACCGGTAGTAGCCGAGTAATGAGCATTGAAAGATAAGGTGCTTAACAAAGGTGCAAATGGGAGTTGTGGTTTTATCGAAGATGATGCCCAGTAAGTATTTGTGCGTTAGTTTTTATTTCACTGGTTCAAACAACCTACTCTACGGCAGGATAAGCAATCCTGAATAAATAACAGCAATTTTCTCTCAAAGTACAATTCTCATACCAGAGTTGAAGGTTAGCTTTAAAGGCATCGTTTAACAATGTTAAATCCGAGATGCATGGTTCTACGTGTTATCAGTGTCTTTGATGTGGTGTAATATTGAAGCCCTAAAAAAATTGCGCTTCAAAATGATCATGAAGTGCCCCTTTGAGTCCCCAATAGACTGTAGGGTTATGAAAACCGTTAGGAAAACGCAAAATTTGATTTCGATTTCCAATCATAAATATCTTAAATGATAATCAGACATGCAATTGGCTTGTAAAAGTCATGGGGTTCCTGACTGACCTAAAGGTTTATAATTATCATTGCAGCTAAATTGCTAAAAATTGTGTGCATGCAGCGGCGGGAGTTAGACTAAGTTGCTGTTCTAATAATGCGACGGAAAAGACAGATAGATATCGTTTCAGTTGACGGTAGGTGTTTTTATCGCTCAAAATTGAGGCTGCAAGAAAGGAATCACACTTTGTGCGTGGTACCGAGTGCGTTCAGAAAAGGAAGTTGAAATATTCAAGTTTCAAGTTTCAAGTTTTATTTATCTTTCTTTCATAACACACTTGACAAATATGACATGAATATAACAAGTTTACAGAATATGGCGTTAAAAAAGAAAGATGAGGTGATCTTGGTTGAAAGCAAGGCTTGTGGATTTAAGGTCCCTCATGAGTAGCTTATGAATATGTCCTAAAAGAACAAACATGACCCACTGAAGACTGTTGAGCAAGTTAAGAAAGTCCCACACACAAGACTAAAATGTTGATCAGACTATTACAATTAAATCATAATACTAATAGGCATTAATTTAATTGTCAAAATATATCCACAACATAATGGTTTACCTTTGATATTTTGATGAATGAAAATAATTTAAAACCCTTAAAATAACATCGAAGTGCCTTCTGTTCATCCCCCAAAATGTGTGTATAACGGCAAGCTGAAGCTGAGCTGATTGTAACATTAAGCATTAAACCAATTAAAAACATCACGTAAGACTTTAAGGGACTCCAATTCAACAAAATTACCGTAAAATAACTATTTGCTTTGACAAATAATACTATAGATATTCATAATGTCTTACAAAAATAATGATATTTCATGAGTTATGTACTCGATATCGAGTTCAGCTAGCCATCATTTATAAACGAGACGTAATTGTCATGCAGCGCAGTAGACAGTAGGTGGCAGTATGCAGAGAGAGAGAAAAGGGCTTTAAATTATTTTGCTTCATCAAAATATCAAGGGTAAACCATTATGTTGTGGATATATTTTGACAATTAAATTAATGTCTATTATTAGTATTACGATTTAATTGTAATAGTCTGATCAACATTTTAGTCTTGTGTGTGGTACTCTTGCTCATTTTTCGGTGGGTCATATTTCAACTTCCTTTTCTGAACGCACTCGGTACCATGAAGTGTGATTCCTTTCTTGCAGCCTCAATTTTAGAGCGATAAAAAAATGTACCGTCAACTGAAATAATATCCATTTATTTCTAAATCAAATTTATTTGATTAAATTGAAATATAAGTTTGTGAATTGCATATTTGTAGTTCTTAAAAAGGGAACCAAAACCTTCATACTAAGTTACTTTTATTGTAAAGTTTGAGATATCTGAAAAATTTCAGTGAAAATTTGAACAAAATCGGGCAAGGAATATGGAAATTAGAGCTTTTTGAAATGACTAGTCACTAGAGGGCAGTATTCAATTGGATGACATCATCTGTGGACAGCTCTCCATGCCTTTTGTACATCAAATTTAATGTTTTTCCTTCTTTCTTGTGATTGAGATAATCTACTCCCCTGAAAGCAAGATATAGATAACCCTAACACTAACCCTATTCTACTTCACATGTTATGAAGTTGGATCAAGAACATAAACAAATACGACGATAACGAAAAAATTGTGAAAAATGGTAAAAATTAAATATCTAACTTGATTCTTAAGGTGGATTAATTCAAATCTCGGAATGACCTCAGCTATAGTACAGTTGCGCTCAAGGATTGCGCCTGTTCTTTTTGGCGCTTATTCAGAAACGTATCCAAAATTTGACCCGTATTACTCCGGTGTAATGTCTCAGATCCTCATTACAGTACATAAATTCACACAGGCGCGCGCCCGCCCGCAACCCAGCATCGGTAGCCATACACTGTATGTACTTGTATTCTGTAGCGGTTTGCCGTGAAACCTGAGAAAAAGTGTATACTATAATATCATTGTTTTTCCGAAAAATACTCCAAAAATAACAAGAAAATTGACACGAAAACAGGTAATAAACATGACAACTTTTAATTCATGATCTTTATTTGGACATTTAATGAATATTTACTTCATTTTGGGTATGTTTTGGTAGGGTATCTCCACGCCAGAGTTACGGGTTAAATTTGGATACGTTTCTGAACAAGCGCCTTCTTTTTAACCACACATAGATCTAGATCTAGATAGATAGATCTAGACTGAAAGCTTCAGTCTCTGATATCGACGGTGGTTCCGCTGAGATTGCATCTGGCTCTTCTCTGACCGCCTCTATATGTCAACAAATGTCAGTTTTATTAAAGAAATGACCCATATCAGACGGTTATTTCTGTCTAATCTAGATCTAGACCTAGCTAGGTCTATAGGCTATAATCTACAGCTACATCTTCCACAACACTGTAGATCTACATAGAGGTCTATAACTACATCTAACATACAACATACAACTTTAGAAGTACAAAGATACACTGACAACGTATTGACCTGTACTTCAATAGAAGAAGAGGATGAAGAAGAAGAAAGAGAAGAAGGAGAAGAAGAACTGAAAATAATCTGAATGAAGAAACATGAAACTAATGAATTTAAACCACCCTATTTTACTTCATTTGTATTGCATAATTTTGTAATGACAAATAGTGAAATACACATTAGACCGAATTTTCTGTCTCTTTCATTCATTGGCCAGAGACGGAAAATTCGGTCTAAATACATATCAACAATTACATGTAGACCTAGTCAAAAGACAAAATCAACAAAAAGCCTTCATTGATATGTGTGTTTTACTTCATACGTGCTTCACCTCATCATTCATGGATTTACATGATGTAGGTCTAACTGAACTGTCAACAATCAGACTACAAAAACTAAAAAGGTTTGGGATTTGAGAGCGCGACGCGATCGCAAGCATCTGTGTCACCGCATCGGTATTTGAGCGTACTCGCCGCCTTGTCTAGTGGGAGCGGAACTGACCCTGGAGGCTGAAGAATGTCGCGTGGAGTACTTGGCTTGCGAGAACGAAATCGTGCAACGAATGTGGACCAAAATGCACAAATAATGTCATGAAGTTACTTCAAATTGAAAACTAGATACATTATAAAGATTTAATAAGAATATCATAAACTATAAGTTTAAGTTATCATCATTTTTGTAGAAATAAAACATTCTCACCATGCACAGTAGTCGAGATCAAGTCAGTCAGCCAGAGAGTACACCTAACCGGTATGGTGCTAAATTAAATTTCAACTTGCAACACAAAGAAATATCCGGTGCTAAAAGTGCAAAGTGCTAATTCTTGTGGCGCCGATTAAACCGCCGATGGGGGGGGGGGGGGGGGGGGGGGGGGGGGGAAATAACGTTTTCTTAGAAGACAAAAAATGTGGCACCGGGACTCCGGGATTTTAAAGGGGGTTCCCCAAGGCAAAAATATGTAGATTCTCACGTTTGGGATGCTTTTATTCTTCATAAAAGAACACAAATATATAAAGCGCTAAATTATACATAACATTATCTTTGTCAAGGATATTGTTTAATTGGCCACCGCCTCCTTTCTACTATTCAGAAAAAAGCAACCCCCCCCCCCCTACATGTAAATTTTTCATTTTTTCTGAATTTTGAAATTTTCTTAGTCAGTGGACTAAAATGATACAAATCATGTGTTGAATAATTATACCTCGGCCAGTTATATTCAGCATGGCGATCATCTTGGGAATAAAAGCAAAATTTTGTTTATTTTGTTTATTTATATGTTTATTAAGAAATCAAATCATAACATATACAAACTTTCCAAAAAAAATACAAATGCATAAAAGCAAAAAATTGAAAAGTAGTCAATAGTAATGCCCTGCCTCCTCTTTTTTGTAAATTGGCCTAATCAAGAGAATGGAACCTATAACGGGAGAGTTTCCTTCGGGGGGGGGGGGGGGGGAGGAGGGGAGGGACTCACATTAGGACATATGGAGGTGTGCCGCTCTAATGGGTAACTTTTTCACAACAAATCCCTAAACATGGCACATGGGTCCCACTTTTGACAAAAATATCATTAAAAATGAGTCTGTTTTTTCAAAATTTTCAGGTCAGTGTAATTTGCTATGCAAAAAAAAAAAAAATGAAAACTGTGAAAATTCAGTCTTTTATTGAGAAAAATGCCCTAATTGACCCCTAATAATGGGTAGGGGTTTCGAGGCTTGAGTGGCACACCCCGTCCAAACTAAATCTGATTACCCCCCATTCCTCCCCCCCCCCCCCCCCCCCCCCCCCCCCCCCCCCCCCCAGGGTTTCATTTTGCTATCCCAGGGCACCGTACGTTCTTGCAGTGACGAATTAAGAGGGCGGGGCAAGAAGTGCACCGGGCGGCACTTTAAGGAGGTGTACACACGAACCCTTAAAACATGCAACAGAGAAAGTGAGAAAAGGAAGGAAGAAGAAAAAAAAATCACGATCCTGAAAGATTATGGCCCCAATAGGACAGGGTTATTTATTTCAAATACAGTTCAAGCTAGGTTTATGCGAAAACTATTAAAACCTCTCTCATTTTCTCCCCTTGTTGTGCCAGGATCTCGTAATTTCGTGTCCCAATATAAAATTTAATTACATTTTATAAAAAGCGTTATATAGGTTTAGTAAAGTTCAGTCGGAAAAATTGTAATTCGCGATGTTTGCTCCCGGTTTGCGCTTCAATATACTGCAGTGTATTAAAGGGGAAAAAAGGAATGGGCTTTCTGTTACCTTGCTAGACTCTTACTAAATCCTCTAGAGATGGTCGACCATTCCAACATCCAACTCCCTGATTAACCCAAAGTGCAATGCTGTCAACGATTACATAATCCTGTGTTGTTGTTGTTTTAGCTTTAATAGGTGTTGTTGTTGTTGTTGTTTTAGTTTTAAGGGCGTGTGTCATTCAATTATGAATATTTAGGTGAAGACATTGAATATTGAGATGAAATAGGTGAGCCCATTTTGTCATAGTCTAATTTTAAGGCGTTTTCATATTACTGCTCATTCGACAACGACTGTATATGCAAAATTTGACAAATATGAACAAATATTTATCATTATACCTACAAAATATAAACATGACATTTAATTGCTCATGAGCTTCAAAATATATTCTGATCTGGTGTTTTTTTATATATTATTTTCTCTATTCATGCTTGAACAAGACTAGTTTTCTGAGTCGGCTTGAGCTATCGACATCTCATGAATCTGTCATCTGTCATCTGTCTTGGAGAAAAGCATCCATGATCCCTTCCTTCAAGATAGTTGCTACGAATGCCTAGGCCGGGGATCCTATAACCTAATTAAGTAAGTCTTCTGTTTATTTGTACTCAAGCGGAGATGAATAAAAATATTATAGACACCCTTCTAGTTCTAGTTTTAGTTTTCTACATATTTTGTTTTCACTCTTCAGTGCAGAGCTGAGCCAGCTGGCGCGGCGCAGCTCGGCCTGCGCTGCTGTAGTGTATGTACCGTATGCAACTTGCAAGGAACGCAATAAAAATGAAATTACATGATTGTGAATGAGTGTCGTGAATGCATGTGAGGGGTTGTCTTACTTTAATTTTCTAATCCTAGGCTAAACCTGAGGAATTTTTCTCTATAGTACAGTGATTCTGTTGGTCTCTGGGAATTTCACTAAACTTGAGTTGGACCAAGCCAGTTTAACGAAAAGAACAAAAGAATGTTTGATCATGTTGATAGTAATACCTTGAATACCAAAGCTTCTGGAAGAAAGCCGTCTCCAGCTGGGAAGTCCCAGTTTCCGGGTGTTGTACCATGGTCTTTTTACATCTGTATCTTGCTTGCTGGGTCATATCGGGAATGTCATAATTGGAGTGTCAACTGGGAGAAGGGTGAATGATATTATTGCTCTAGCTTCTGCCAGTGTTTGTCAAGTCTTGCTTTATACTTTTACCGAGGTTGCAGATACCACCGACTCAGGGAGGGAGTTCCAGTCGTTAAGGACCCTGATGCTAAATGAGTCTTGCCTGATTTTGTGTTGCACCTGGGTTTGGTCAGTTTGAAAGCATGCCCTCTCGTTGTTGAGTTGCTTGCAGGTGTGAAGAATTGGGTAGAGTCCAACCTGTCAATGTTCTGCATCAACTTGAACACCTGAATCATGTCTCCTCGGCGGCGACGGTGGCTAAGTGAGGGAAGTTTCAAACTCTCAAGTCTCTCATGGTAGTGTAAGGTTTTAATTTTACTGTTCCAAGTGGTTACTTGTTTATTTTACATTGTACATTTAGCTTTCCACTCCGATATGCTTCAGCGCACTCCTGACCTACATTCATTCTCTCATGTCTGCTAGCTCTTGGCTTCTATTGTTCTGTCCCTATCCATTCATCCTCATTCACATTACCTGCCATAGCACCATACACACACACACACTCTTCCTATCTATTAGCTATTCAACCCAGCACACTATAGACACATGACACTCTACCTGTACAAGCTTTTCTATTGGTTACTTAATTATTGTCTAATCTTGTGATTGGTTATTATTGTTTGGTGGACTGGATGTCAGCCATCTTGGCAGCCATTTTGTGGTTGTATTAAAATCAGACAGTGCAGCTCAAGTTATCAAACATGTAAGACCACTTTTGTTTTGTGTGGGTCCTTACAGTGGCTTCGGTGTTTTATCTCTGGTACCATTTGTGTTGCTCTTTTTTGTACCTTCTCTATGATTTTTTCATCCTTCACATAGTGAGGGTGCCAGATTACATTGCCATATTCTGATATGGGACGAACAAGACCTTTGTAGAGGAGTAGAATTGTCGAGCTGTCACTCCTGATATGTAATATCTTACAAATATACACTGCATGAAGTCTAAGCGTAAACGGTATGACTATTATGAGCCTCGTACCCTGATTAGTGATGACATTGGGGCTTAAAAAGTATAAGGTCCTAAGTAATTTTCCCGCATAGACCCTGGCTAGACTATATGCAATTCTACAAAACAAATGGGAGAAAATAAAAATAATTGTTAAAATACTTACTTTTGAATATTTTCAAAGTATTTGACTGTTTGTCAAAGTTACATCAAGTTGAATTGATTTTATTTAAATGCTATTTAGGTGTCATCAATTGTCCATAAGTAAAGTACAGATTTTGAGTGAACTCTGGTGAGTTTTGTACAGTGATGTTTTGAAATGTTGAGAATCAATAAATAGAGGTCATAGACTTTTCAACAAGTATACACTAATGCCTCCTTGAGTGCTTTGTCCCAATAGGCAAAAAGCTTATTATTTTTACCTTGCTAATGCTATTTGATCTATTATTTCAATATCAATATTGTCTTATTTATTGTTGTACTCATGGATCTCCGTTTATCTTTTTACATGTCTCTTTAGGTTCTTTATTGTCTGATAATTCTGAGATTGATCTGGTCCTTTAGCGATGGAAGAGCTAGAGGAAAATGGTCCCAAGATCTTTACAGGCTGCACTGATGTGTTTTGTGGAATCACCGTGGCAACAGACAAACAAAATTGGAGCACTTTAGATGAATTCAAAATGATGTTAAGAGGTAATGTAAATCACAGAGTTTCCTGTATTTTATCACCAGAATATGCAGAAAAGTTGCAAAAAACCTCTATGCTCACTTTTGGTTTCAAAATTTTGGAGAAAGAAAAAAAAAATCAGAAAATTGCAGATTTGAATTATTGGTCTTCCTCAGAAGTAATGAATGAACAAAAATTAAATTGCATTTTAGTACAGATTTAGGCTCTAGAGAATGATGAATATCAATGTGACAAACTTTTTATTGTCCTGTTTATTAGATTCACTCGATCACTGGAAGAAGACTGCCATAAGAGGTATCTGGATCAAAGTACCGTTGCACCAAGCTGACCTTGTGGGAATTATTGCTAAGGTATGACCTAGTGCATTTTTTCACGAAACCATATCAACTCTATGTCCTTCGGCATCCCTATAAAGTACACTTGATAAAATTTGAATGGGATGTTCACAGAATTTGACATATGAAGGGTTGGATAAACTGGCCCTGAATTTCTCTTCACTAGTTTATTTCATGTAGCAGCATGTTAATGGACAGATACATTTATTACCTTTCAAGAGCTTGTTATTAAACTACAGTGGCACTCTGACCTTATTAAACACTATTCTTTCATTTTGTTGTTGTATTTGCAAGTTGAAATTAAAGAATTTTTATGAATTAATTCTGAGTGCTTACTATTACATTGACTTTGAGTACTGGTATATGGGTGCTACCTTGCGTTTTTCTTGTCGTAAGTTGATTGAACACTGCTTTAGTATGCCCAAAAGCACTGCCACACTGACTACCGGAGGTTGCTAATCCCATAAAAATTCACTGCAGAAGACATCTCATTCATATTCATAATCAAGTCTGCACATAAGTCTTGCTATGTCGGGCAAGCTACGAGGTTGTCAAGAACAGCTTTTGTTGTAGAAAGAATGCATACAGGCTGAAAAAGTATGTAAACTGGTCTATTGCACATGATATTTTTTTAAGGAGAGATGTGCATACATGTACATTGTTCATGTAGGATCATATGTGTCGGTTTTCAACTTCTCATTGCTATCACGTTTTACATTTATTTGCTTAGTACTGCTATTCAGTTGCTTTAATTTGGATGTTATCGGAAAGGTGTTAATTGCACAATGCACATCACTCGAAGTTTGCGCTTGGATAGGGCAATCAAAAGTAGCTTTAAATACAGAGAAATTACGTTAAAGCTTATTGCTTAATTCCTTGAAAAGATGATTGAGAAAAGCTACTCTTTTAAGTCTCTTTCACCATCATTTGATTATTCTTTTGACCTGCACCGAACAAAGTTCATTGCTTTGCTTGCTTGGCCCTTTGTTCCCTGTACCCTAGCTTGGCTTTGTGTTCCACCATGCTCAACCCAATTATGTGATGATGACAAGATGGCTTCCAGAAGATGAGCCTAACATGCTGCCAGGCTTTGCTACTCATTACATAGGTAAATGCACTGACGTAAAGTCAAACCTGTCTATAGAGGTCACACAGGAGAAAGTCAATTGGGTGGTACACATATCTGTAGAGTTAAACCTGTCTACAAAGGCCACTCATAGAAACTAAAGTGGGTGATAACCTAATGTGTAGTATTGAAATTGTCTGTAAAGGCCATCCAAGAAAGGTTATGAAGCAACTGAAGAATATTGTTTTTTTTCATAGAGGCTGCCAATATAAACTTTAGATGGATTAACTTCAAATATGGAAATCGCAATGGTTGAAAAATAAAATAGTTAAATGCCCCAATTTTGTTTTTAATATTTGCTGGCATTAGAAGAAACAAATGTTGCTGTCAAGGGATATCATTTTAAGGGAATAGCAGGAGTGGTGGTTGTTTATTATGTATATTCCCATCTTGCTTGGAGAGTACCATGACAAATTAAGAATGTTTTGCTAGAATAGATTATTATTGCAATCCTGAATGGAGATATGTTGAGTTTCATATATTATGGCTCAAGATATGGTCCTTTGGCAGTTAAGTCTTTCATTTTAATTTGCTTTGCAGGTGTTGGTGGCTTTGTATTGAATGAGAAGAATGAGCTGCTAGTCATTCAGGAGTTGTATGCAGGAAAAGGGCGATGGAAACTCCCAGGGGGAGCCGTTGACCCAAGTAAGTACACTAAGAAAATAATTGTACTTATTAAAGAGAAGGTTGAGTTCTGGGAAGAGGTGAAAACTAATTTATGAGCGGTATCATTGTATTACGCAAGTGTGGAAGAACATCAGATAAAAAAATGTTCCCTGAAAAGCATATTTCATCAAATGCCTTAATATTTTAAATATGGCATGTAACATCATAAAAATTGGGACAGATTTTTATGCCACAAGTATGTGTAGTCCCATATATACATCTTTCTGTGTACAGTGCTTGTTACTTTACCAAGACTGGGCCAAGTTTCTTATCATTTTGATGATTCCAGAACCTTGCAGTACACACCAATACTTGTATGCTAGATGATCAACCTTTTCTGATCGATTCCATAATGTTTCTTTCACAATGCAATCGCATGACCAGAACTCAAATTTATCTTTAAAACTGAGTGTTGTAGTTCACTTGATAACGGATGACTCGCTGGCTCTGAACTGCCAATATGTTGCACATTGGGCATTGGAGCCATTGTGAAAAAAATGCTGATTTATCTGAAAAGAGGTTAGTGATTGCTCTAGATGTAATATAAAGATTCTTCAGGAGGATACTCCAAGTATTATATTCCATTGAAAAAAAATTAAAAAATATAATTATCAAACACACTGATTTAACCTCTAGAAGTCACAATATTTTCCCGTTGAATGAAATAATTAGGTAATACAAATATTCAAAAGTACATAATCTTGCAGTAACACCTCTCACTTCTATCTTTTCCCAGAGGAAGATCTACCAGATGCTGTTTGTCGTGAGGTTCTGGAAGAGACAGGGATCTCTGCGGAGTTCAAGTCCATTGGCTGTTTCCGTCACTTGCATAAGTTTCGCTTTGGTCGATCTGATATCTACTTTGTATGCCACTTACAACCACTGACCTCAGAAATCAACATGGACCCCAGAGAAATAGCAGCGTGCAGATGGATGCCTGTAAGTTGTTTATTTATTCATTTTCAGTTCGATGATAATTTGGTTTCGGAATGGAATCACTAAGATGTAGTCCATGTACATTGGTTGTAGAATTGATTCAAATCTTGAATTAGGCATTTATTTTCATTCGGGAAATGTCATGATGGAATGCTGTGTTTAAGTAGCAGTACATGTGCCTGTCTATGAAACCTCAAAGCCTGTAGCATTTATGGTGTATCGCTTTGGGGAAACATTATTCATGAGACTGTACTGATAGGTTGTAGTATAGTATTAATGACTGCTTTGAGAGAAATAGTTGTTTTTATACGCTCAAGGGAAGGTTACAATTGTGCTATTGCCCCGAGGCGTGCCGAGGGCAATAGCCCAATTGTAACCTTCCAGAGAGCGTATAAAAACAACTATTTCTCGAATATTAAAGCAGTCATTAATACTTTTATATGCCGAAAACAAAAGAGTCAACTAATGACACCACCTTGGCCTTTCTCTAGTTTATCTGCACGGTTGTTTTTTATGAGTGTATCTTTGAGAGTAGACTAGATCTAGATTCTAGTCTAAGCAAGATATTTTTACAATTTTGGGGGTGGGCCGGCCCTGTGGGGAATAGAGAGAAGAACCTGCGCTTTCATATGACACCTCACTTATTGAGTATCACCTTCAGGATCACAACAGATAAAGGTTTGAATCTCGAATTGAAAAAAAAAACTTTTTTTGCATGGTCGCGCAATGCACGTAGACTGCATAGAGACTGCATTGCGTGTTATCTCTATGGGAAGAATATAGCACACAACATCAGGTGCGCAATCAGACACCCTGACAACTAGATCTATTTTCGTCTACGTCTATCCGACGTCTATGCTGGTACTCCATTTTCAGCAACTAAACGAACATGTTTATGGATAATTTCACGTACCTTTTTTGTTGTTCTTGCTGTCAGCGAGTCTTGCATTTGATAAGTTGAAATCTTGGGACAGTTTCTTTAGCCATTTTTGTCTTGTTTGGAATTGTCTTGTCTTGTATGAAAATACCGACCAATTCTTCGCACACGTACGGTATCCTCGATCGCTCAAACCATTTTTTAACATGTAAACCTATGGGGTAACCATGGAGACTGAACTATTTTCCCGGTAACCATGGTTACTGGGATTTTAGAACTGTTTTAACCATGGTTACTGGGAATTTTACAGAAATAGTTAAAGTTTATGAATGCAATTTCGACCAATCAGATGGCTGGATTTCTTAAGTGAGGTATATAAACCATTTTATCCCATTTGTGCGTACTATGGGATTAAGCTAAACTTAAAAGACCTTTGTCTCCCTTTTCACAACCACAGATCGAGGAGTACTTGGAGCACCCAGACGTCCATGAAGCCAACAGGTACTTTGCCAGGCAATGTCTTGCTGTAATATCTAAAGACTCTAAGGTGAATCTCCGGCCTGAGGAAAGCAACAATAGTCTGGTATACTCTATTCTTCCAAAATCTGTAGCCACGTCACTGGAAACTTCATCATCAGGGGTTACAGACGGAGAAAGCTTGAGTGATGATCTGGAGAAAATGGCGCTGAAGAACAGTTGATGATTGCCAAAAAGATTAAGGTTATATGATCAAGGAATACTATTCAGTATTCATCCAGTGGCAAATGTACTTATTCCTACAGTACATTTAACTTTTATGACCAGTTAGAAATCCTCATTTTATATGTATTTTACAAATATGACAGGTTGTATGACATTTGAGCAATAAGAATTTTCTGATTGCTCACCTGTCGAGGGTAGGATAAATAAAGTGCAATTTGCCATTTGGGGCTAACAGTGAATAGCCATTTTTAATCCAGTGTATAAGGACAGCTCAGGTAAAGTGAAAACAGCAGCCTTAAAAACACAGATGGCCTTTATATAACGGTTTCCTTCAGTATGATGATTCAATGTTCTCTATCCTAACCTGTAGTACACTTCCACTTTTCAATGTTAATGGCCAGTCATACGCAGCCATTTAAAAAAAATACTATCAGAATCAGAAATGCTTAAGTTTGTTGAGTAGCAAATGTATGGCAAGCCAAAGTGGAAAGATTGATATTTAACAATCGCATGTCAAGGGATTCTTGTAAATACAAGTATCCCACAAATATTTGTCTTTAGAACTCCTATGCTCTATAGCACTAACCTGTATTTTCATTCTTGTAATTTCTGCATTGTACCTATAGAGAGCAATACTATTTGATCTGTTGTTGTGTTGAGCAGTCTCTTTATCAGTCGGTCTCCCTTGACATTCTTGGTCTTTCCATTATGAAGTTTTGTCTTTCCTTCTTAGGTCCCTTAATGCCTGGCTTAAATGCTTCTGCACATGCTCAACACAATCTTTCTTGGTAATTAAACTTCATTGCCATATGGCTTTCTGTTAATCACTACTGCGGGCAGGAGGTTTTACAAGGTTATATTATTCACCTTCTCTCTAAACATAACACATTAATGCTCAAAACCAATAAAAATCATAAAAATGCACCAACATTATAATAATAATAATAATAATAATAATACATGAGATTTATACAGCGCCATTATCCATTTTAATTAAATGCTCAAATTATCACACAAAAACAAAACAAAAGGAACCAATACTACAGAAGATGTGTAGTACATGTACCTATGATCTGATCTTTCTAATTTAATGCCATGTTGAATACTGCATTAGTCTTGTCTTGAAGAATACCAGGTATAACATGTTTACATCTTGTCATAGTGTAATAGTGTAATGCTTAAAACTCTGTATTTGCTATAGACCTTTGCATGGTACGTCCTACCAGCAACCACAACCTGATGGTTGTAAAAAACAATGATGACATCACTGTTAAGTGCTGCAAGTTCTTGAGCTGTTTGATTGACCGACCACTTCCTTAGCTTGTAATAGGTTCCATCTGGTGCAACAACACCTAGTGCATCTGGCTTTAGCTTGCTCTTTGATGCAGTGTAAATAAAATGTCCTCCTGAAAGGAATGTTGCTGAAAACGCTCCTGGTGTTAATTGTAAGCGGAGAAATCACAGAACAGGTGATTTTACTTAAAGTGAGTGGAAGTACACCACATGATGAAAGTTTACGGAAAACGTAGCTAGTTAAATTTAAGTTATTCAAATGTTTTGAAATGACATTTTATAATCACAAAGTGAGTAAACTCACCAGAGTTTATGCTTGAGAATCCTTGTTATTTGAGAAGAGAAGTAGCATGCAAAGATGTGAAATTGACGAGTTTTCTAGGAAGGATTCAGGAGGATTCGTTCACGATCCTTGATTCACGTACGGAAGCACTTCCTTTCTATGAAGTTGGAGTAACCCATGCCACTTCATTTCAGTAGTAGCCCTGTCTGACATCGTATTGCGAATGTTCCCCAATATACGTCTTCCTGTCGGGCTGACCTCGTTTGCTATTTCATCTATATCCGACAGTACTTCCTTGAAGGTTGCCAATGTATTTGTTCCACCGTTTAAATCATAGCCAAACAAAATGAAGAGTATGGGACGCCGTGGTGAAGTTCAAAGATGTTTATTCATTTTTTATTAAATAAAAAACGGAAACCCCTGGATTGTACAGAAGATGAAACAAAAGCATCATAAGTACAATAATCACACTATAAAATCATGCAAGTCATCAATATTGATTGTGATTAGATTTCTGTAGAAATAAATACATAGTATTCAATATTATCTGTAAATACATGTATAGATATTAAACAGTCATGACTCCGATCAATATTATTGAATACATAACACAAATATTCCTACGCAACTCACCCTAGACTAAGTGTCACACGGGTAAGGAAAATACTACGTCATCGTCTGTTGAAGCCTAGCTTTGTAGCGTGGTGTGTATAAAGACACCTTACACCTTAGCGGCTAAAGTAGGAAAAAAACATGAAAAATCAATTATATACTATAGACAATATTTGTTGTAAAATCCACATGATATATAAACCGAGTCTGATACTTACAGACTACTCATCAATACCGTAAAAAATTCAACAGAAGAATACATTTAACATGCCTCGGTACATTTCCACCGTACAGTGAATAAAACATCTCATTACATAATATACAATAATTGAATCGACTCGTATATTACGACATCATAAACACTGGTAGCAAAGTAAAACTCAATAGCATCAAATATATTCAATGGTGCAACACAAACAGGCTACATTGACGGCTTTATACTTAAGCGTGTCGGATGATGTAAAGTAAAACAACCAGCTTCGCTTAAAGCAAGTGAAGGAATGTCTGTTAACTTAAATGCCCATCAGGGCCTTGCCTGACATAGCGCATGTCTGGAAGGACTACTTTTCGAGCATGAATGCACATCCTTCTGAACTAAGTATAATAATCAATTTTAGGAAAAGAACAATAAAACATACATGAGAAAATATCATAATTTCCCCGCTGCATAGGGATGTAGTGGTAGGTAAAAGGGCTACAGCTTGCACGTGGGAGAAAACAAGCCACGAAACATGGTCATGAATGCATGGCTTGCAAGTTCATCGGTGTCCCCTTTTGGTGCTTCTCAAATGCTCGCAACTCATTATTTATGCTGCCTACATCTACAAAATCAATGAGTTCCCCAGTCGAAGAAGAAGAGTACACTATGCCTGACTTAGTCTTCCTTTCATCACAGATGAGTGATAAATTGCTTTGGAACTCTTGCTTCAAATTCATCTCTTTGATAGTTTGTTGTATCGAACGTGAAGGACTCCTGTTTTCGCTTGTGTGTAATGTGTATATTTTGTAAGTGTTCCTATTGCAGGAAATATAAGAAACTTACTGTCTTTGAGAAGTTTGTATGCTGCGGGGGACTTGCTGTGCACAGCAATTGCCCATCAAATAACCAATGGATGTCATCGCATCTGTCTCCTGTTGGAGAACTTCAATGCCTTTGTCTGCTCCTCCCACAACAGCTTCTGTGCTGACTTATCAACAAGATTCTCTTCAATTACCCCCGCTGCATCTTTCACAATCTTTTCAGTCTCTTTCGTGTCTCCAACCGGCACACTCTCCTCTCTGAATATTTTCCTTATTTTGTCCTGAAGTCTCCTCTGGCTACTTTTTACCTTCACTGTGTCCTTTTGTGTGTTCCTTGCTCTGGAGATTAGTTGCTTTTTGGACAGAGATTGCAATTTTGCCTTTGAAGAAACATGTGCTTTCATAGGTGAAGACAACCTATTCCGATTCTTCATGGATATAAAGTCACTCCTCTGGATGGAACACACGCTGCATTTATCGTTGTCCTATGGGAGGGCATTAAAACTGTAAATTGAAATGAAAAGAGAGAGAACAATGATACATTATAACTGGGGGTGTGATGTATTCACACTTGAGGGGTTAAGATAATGCACTGAAAATGTGTAGTAGATACAGTAGATACCAACATTTGTAAGGGTGTCCTATTTTGGAGGGTCCTCACACTACTTTATATACATCATACCACAAATCTGCTATCATCAACATCACGATAGGGCAAGAGATTGGGATTTCTCTTCCGGTGACTTTCTGATGCAGTGGACACGTTTAGACAATCGAAGAACTTGTTGAACATTTCAACAAACTGCCTAGTTCCATCGGTAGAGGTATCCCCGGTGTTGTCACTCTTGAGTTTCAGTGCGTTTGCAACCGATTTGCTCAACACCTGGAGAATAATTAAACAAGAATGTACAAACATAAACAATTACAGTGAAAAAACATGTGACAATGAAGTTGATAAACATGGGACGCAGGTCCAGCTTGTATTTCTCAATTTTCATGTACACTAACATTTCCATAGGTATTTTTTCTTAATTTGAAGAAAAAGATTAAATAAGACACTGCTCATTCATACACTTACCGTACTTGCAAGTTCCTGCTTTTGCGGTTGAAGCCGGAATTCTCCAGGTTGTTGGGTGCTGTTTTCAACAGATGTGGAACATCGCAGAAGAAGTAGATCTTTCTGTCCTCATCAGCAGGGTTTATGGTGTAATAACCATGAACATCATTAGTGCATAAAGTGCTGTTTTCAACAGATGTGGAACATCGCAGAAGAAGTAGATCTTTCTGTCGTCATCAGCCGGGTTGATGGTGTAATAACCATGAACATCATTAGTGCATAAAGTGCTGTTTTCAACAGATGTGGAACATCGCAGAAGAAGTAGATCTTTTTGTCCTCATCAGCAGGGTTTATGGTGTAATAGCCATGAACATCATCAGTGCATAAAGTGCTGTTTTCAACAGATGTGGAACATCGCAGAAGAAGTAGATCTTTCTGTCCTCATCAGCTGGGTTTATGGTGTAATAACCATGAACATCATCAGTGCATAAAGTGCTGTTTTCAACAGATGTGGAACATCGCAGAAGAAGTAGATCTTTTTGTCCTCATCAGCTGGGTTTATGGTGTAATAGCCATGAACATCATCAGTGCATAAAGTGCTGTTTTCAACAGATGTGGAACATCGCAGAAGAAGTAGATCTTTCTGTCCTCATCAGCTGGGTTTATGGTGTAATAACCATGAACATCATCAGTGCATAAAGTGCTGTTTTCAACAGATGTGGAACATCGCAGAAGAAGTAGATCTTTTTGTCCTCATCAGCTGGGTTTATGGTGTAATAGCCATGAACATCATCAGTGCATAAAGTGCTGTTTTCAACAGATGTGGAACATCGCAGAAGAAGTAGATCTTTCTGTCCTCATCAGCTGGGTTTATGGTGTAATAGCCATGAACATCATTAGTGCATAAAGTGCTGTTTTCAACAGATGTGGAACATCGCAGAAGAAGTAGATCTTTCTGTCGTCATCAGCTGGGTTTATGGTGTAATAGCCATGAACATCATTAGTGCATAAAGTGCTGTTTTCAACAGATGTGGAACATCGCAGAAGAAGTAGATCTTTCTGTCCTCATCAGCTGGGTTTATGGTGTAATAGCCATGAACATCATCAGTGCATAAAGTGCTGTTTTCAACAGATGTGGAACATCGCAGAAGAAGTAGATCTTTCTGTCTTCATCAGCTGGGTTTATGGTGTAATAACCATGAACATCATCAGTGCATAAAGTGCTGTTTTCAACAGATGTGGAACATCGCAGAAGAAGTAGATCTTTCTGTCCTCATCAGCTGGGTTTATGGTGTAATAGCCATGAACATCATCAGTGCATAAAGTGCTGTTTTCAACAGATGTGGAACATCGCAGAAGAAGTAGATCTTTCTGTCCTCATCAGCTGGGTTTATGGTGTAATAACCATGAACATCATCAGTGCATAAAGTGCTGTTTTCAACAGATGTGGAACATCGCAGAAGAAGTAGATCTTTCTGTCCTCATCAGCTGGGTTTATGGTGTAATAGCCATGAACATCATTAGTGCATGTCCTAAAAAAATTCCTGTTACACGAAGCCCCGTCTGCCATCACAACTCGTACCTTTAGCCCCGCTGTCTCGATGGCCAAGACCGTTTTCATAACACAGTCATAGATTTCCCCGCTGCGTAGGGATGGAGTGGGTTAAAGGGCTACAGCTTGCACGTGGGAGAAAACAAGCCACGAAACATGATCATGAATGCATGGCTTGCAAGTTCATCGGTGTCCCCTTTTGGTGCTTCTCAAATGCCCGCAACTCATTATTTATGTTGCCTACATCTACAAAACCAAAGAGTTCCCCAGTCGAAGAAGAAGAGTTCACTATGCCTGACTTAGTCTTCCTTTCATCACAGATGAGTGATAAATTGTTTTGGAACTCTTGCTTCAAATTCATCTCTTTGATAGTTTGTTGTATCGAACATGAAGGACTCCTGTTTTCGCTTGTGTGTAATGTGTATATTTTGTAAGTGTTCCTATTGCAGGTAATATAAGAAACTTACTGTCTTTGATAAGTTTGTATGCTGCGGGGGACTTGCTGTGCACAGCAATTGCCCATCAAATAACCAATGGATGTCATCGCATCTGTCTCCTGTTGGAGGACTTCAATGCCTTTGTCTGCTCCTCCAACAACAGCTTCTGTGCTGACTTATCAACAAGATTCTCTTCAATCACCCCCGCTGCATCTTTCACAATCTTTTCAATCTCTTTTGTGTCTCCAACTAGCACACTCTCCTCTCTGAATATTGTCCTTATTTTGTCCTGAAGTCTCCTCTGGCTACTTACCTTTATTGTGTCCTTCTGTATGTTCCTTGCTCTGGAGATTAGTTGCCTTTTGGACAGAGATTGCAATTTTGCCTTTGAAGAAACATGTGCTTTCATAGGTGAAGACAACCTATTCCGATTCTTCATGGATAACAAGTCACTCCTCTGGATGGAACACACGCTGCATTTACCGTTGTCCTCAGCCACAAGTTTACAATTAATGCTGCGGACTGTTTCCTCTGAGTGGGTATCAACTACATGTATGTACCCTCTGATGTTTTTGTTTTTCAGAAAGTCAACAAAGTCCTTGTTCCCAACACATACCTTGGACCCAGCTACAGATTCTTCATCCAGAACAATGGGGATACTACGCAGAATATTTGTTGAAGGTGCAACTTTCTTGCCCACAAACACAACTTTCCATGTCCGGTCCTCGAATATGGTGAGGCTTTTGGGAACGTAGACATTGTGCTCCTTCACAATGACTGAGAAGATCAAGATCCAATCGTGTCGCTTGCTCAACGACAGCCCATACTCCTCTGCTGCTTCTATTCCTGCTTTCACAACATTTGGGGTCGGAGCAATCCCATCCTCCTCCTCACATGTGTCATCGTGCTGCTTGAAATCTCTCAAAGGAATGTTAACCGTAAACACCTACTTCTTCCGTTTCAAAAGTTAGAAACATGCCAGCTTCCTTTCACATGTACGGCAAATTAAGTATCGATATGAAGTGCCTCGTGGATAGTCCTTTCAAACGCTTCCTTGTATGAATTCCTGTTATCAGCTATTGCAGTCTTTGTTCCGCAGAGCCGGCAATACTGTTCCAGGAGCTCTCCGTGCTTAGATGCCATCGTCAATCTGTTTTTAGCACACACACCAAAAGGGAAATGGTTAATATAATTCCATCTTGATTGTATTATTAGAAATGGTACAGAAGAAGTTAAACAAATATTTCTTGGACACAAAACCTACAATAGATATAAATTATTATTGTTTAAATAAGATGACACCAATCATTGCCAAGTAAAATATAAATATTATTTATTAAATTAACCAAATTTGATTTCACTTGTGCAAAGCAGAAATACATGTAGATGTTCACATTCATATTCAGGTGTTATGAATTATAATACAAGACATGAGTCAATCACAATATCTAACTTCATACTGACATTTGCTTCATGAAGGTCTCCAATACTGCTGCTGTAGTTCTGTCCTTAAATTCAAGGTTTAAAACCACAAGCTCAACTTTTCTTTTTTTTCCAGCCTTCATGTGAACCTATGAAATATGCATGATATTTGATTAATTGATGTGCTCTCCTTTGGCTAGCCATACATTTTCTTCCTCTTGCAAAATCTGATCCTCATGCACTTTGAAAGCTAATAGAAGTTAAAAGGTCAAAGGTCATAGTATTAAGAAGTATATAGCATAGAAATGATAAATACATGTACTGTATACAAGTTCAGGCTCACATCTTTCATCAGGAAGTTTTCTGTATTTTGATGAATTTTTGATAGTCAGCAAGTGCTTAGTTAAGATTATACACAGGTTTTGCAGGGTGCTGTACAGATTTATCCAGTATATCTAATTAATATCAGGTAGGATACCAAAGATATTTAGTTAACTAGATTTTATGAAAAGATGTGGATTCTGAAAAATATTTTTTAAAAATACAAGCATGGTTTAACTGTCAGTATTTTTTGTTGGTGTAATGTAAAAATATAAAAGATAATATTACAATGTTAGTATTTACAGAAGAATGCTTCCTTAATATTTGTGTAGTGTGTGCTTTACAGTGCTAAATGTAAGTAGAGTTGGGAAATATTTCAAATGCATCCCTGTTTATCAATATCAACAAGCATATTGAATTATTAACCATACAATTATCATTCCTTCAGGTTTTTATATATTCTATAATGGTGTACAATGTGTGAACACTGGATTTCTAAGACATATTCATCACTGTAAAGAATACAATAATTGATGTAAATTATTTGAAATTTTGAATTTACTTAATATATTTCATATATTAATTTTGATTCTCTTGCCAAGAGAAATAGAGAGAGAGAGAGAGAGAGAGAGAGAGAGAGAGAGAGAGAGAGAGAGAGAGAGGGGAGAGAGAGGGAGAGAGAGAGAGGGAGAGAGAGAGAGAGGGAGAGAGTTTTTTTTTGGGGGGGGGGTTGAAGGAGGGATAGAGAAGACAAGACATGAGTTATATTAGATGAAAGACAGAAATAAACAAAAATACATGTATATAAATAGTCCATTGTGCTATACAGTACTGGTATTCTTTTTGTTGTTATATTGTTCATTTATATTGTTAGCTATACCTGTTAGGAAGAGTTTCTTATTTCAGTCCCATTTTGTGTACCGGTATATCATAATTAAAGGGATCGTTTAACAATGTTAAATCTGAGATACACGGCCCTACGTGTTATCAGTGTCTGTGATATGGTGTAATATTGAAGCCCTAAAAAAATTGTGCTTCAAAATGATCAAGAAGTGCCTCAAAAAAGTAAAAATCTTTGAGTGACCGGTTTTACCATACTCGTTTTCCCCAATAGACTGTAGTGTTATGAAAACCGTTAGGCGAACGGTTTTCAAAATTTGTAATTCCAATCATAAATATCTTGATAATCAGACTGGCGATCGGCTTGTAAAAGTCATGGGGCTACTGACTGACCTAAAGGTTTATAATTTTCATTGCATCATGAGCTAAATCCAGAATTTTATTTCAGAATCTGAGACAAAGTTACCGGATCCCTTTAAATTTATTGAATTCAGTAGTTAAAACAAACTCCATTTATGCAGATAATTATGTTATGAGACCAACACACTCCTTGGTTCTATAAGACATACTTTTACTTACCGGTACATCTAATATGCAGTCAACACCTTCATTATTCATACTCCTTTTGAATTTGAGTTTTGTGTGTGTTTTCTTAACTCAAGAACTAAAGGTTGACTTGTTAAATGGGCCATTGATGAATACTTTAAAGATGTAAGCTTTTTCAAGAAACATAAATTGAGACAAATAAGTTTTACACATACTTTAAAAAAAAAAAATTTGTTACGGTTTGAATAATTTTGCTGGTAACTGTAGTATGTGTTTGTTCATTCATGTATATGATATTTTATCTGATTGGGGGATATTCCTTCATTATATATCTGTGCCATTTCTAGCATGTATGCATGTGATATATCAATAAATGAATGTTGTTTATACCAAGTCACTATACAATGTGTTGTTTTTCATCTTTAGCAAATGTCCAGACTGTGACATTATGGTATTGTTGTTGTTGTTTTGTTGCTTTTTTTGGGGGGTGGGGGGGGGGGGGTTGACAGAAAAAAATATATGGAATGTTTGTTTCAATTTAGCTGCCGGATTTTGGCTCTATCTGAGAAGCATCCCTTTAATTTTATATTTGTTTATGTGCGGCAGTTAGCTGCTAGCTCTTTTTTTCTTCACACTTACTTACTTGTGTGATTTTGAAAAGTCAATTAACACATGCATGCAGCTTGCTCGTATCACTGAAGTATCCTGCAATATTTGAGAACAGAGCTAGCTAGAGAGATCCAGAGTAAAAGAAAGAGCTATATGGGGCTCACGTATCATATGAACGAAAATAATCAAACTGTTGAAATAATTGTAACTTTGTGGAACAGTGATTGTGGTGGATGCATAGAGGAGAGATATGGGCAGTGAAGGAAGAATACATGAAGCTGCAGGGACAAGTGCCTGTGAGCTGTGAGAGTATATATAGTAACTAGACGAGATAGTGGGATGGAAGATCTTAAGAAGCAGGGATCAAAAAGAAAATTAGAGAAAGCAATTACTTTGACCATTCAGACATGAGAATGCTGCAGATGTAATATGGAACAAGTGAGAAAGAGAGAATGTTCAAAGTAAGATAATTATCAATGAAGATGAAAGTGGAGTTAGATAAAGAATGGTATTGAGAAGACCACCTCCCACCACCATGATTGCCTCCCTTAAAACATTCCCAGTAGGTGTCAGCTAGGATGTATCCCCATGCCTACACGTATATAGGATTTGATTATTTTGCCTTCACCATGAACAGCCCCACCCCCTTGGATTAATCATAGAGCTAGAGATTAGAGAGATAAAGAGAGAGGGGAGGATAACATGGAATATGTACACATATACAAATGTTGCCTCCCAGCTCCCCCCCCCCCCTCGAAAAAAAGTGGGGGGGGGGGTCGAGAGAAATAAATATCTTGTATATATATATATATATATATATATATATTACAGTTGTATGATGCACGAGTCAGCAAAGGTGAGGTATTCATAATGTCATTTTCAAACAGTTTCCAAATATGCAAACCCTAACCCTGACATACTTCTTTCATAATTAGTTTGAAACGGACAGGCTCTTTTCCTGGGGAGGGGAGGGGAGGGGGGGGGGGGCCGGGCAGTGCTCTCGAGGGTAACATATGCTAGTATACATTCAGCTATCAATTTTCATTTTAAAACCTTATTTCATGTTTTCTTTAATTTTACTGTAAATAATTATGACAATATTAGTATCCAGAATTATGCCATTTTCTTATCAAAACAATAGAACATGAATTGAATTGAATTGGTGCGAGTCTGTCGACACGGTAACGGTATTCTAGGCTCCCAGGCACGTCTGATCCACAAAATAAGTACCGCTAGCTGATCTCCAGCTGATCGAACCAGCCCTGGCCCCGCACCCTGCCCGGCGGCGCCGCAACGCGCCGTACGTCATGTAAACAGTGCTCTTTGTACATGCACACATATATGCACGTACACGGGTTGATACTGACAGACTAGTGACTTCTGCCGAAGCAAGAAGAGCTAATTCATACCTTCAGGACAGGCCAGCGAGATTTCTTTCCCGAAAATGCCTGACAAGTTAATCTTCTTCTGCAATGGTAAAAAGGTAAATGTTTCACTTGATATGCATTCTATTAATTAGTAGTTCTAGCATGGCATTCACCACTGCTTTTAACACGCATTTCAATGGGATGTCTGTGAACTTGAAACGCTGCAGCTGCTCAGGCCCAGGCGCTAGCCCATGCAGCTCGATCAGCCAGGCCAGCCAGGGGACCAGCCGGCAGCCAAGGCAAGCAAGGCCAGGTCAAGACGTGTTCTAATTTGGAAGGCATGTTAGCACGCTATGTATGCACATTCTTGCGAAAAAAATTAAGAATAACATAGGGGTGGATATGGAAGCCACAATAAATTTTGTTAAAAACTTAAAATATGATTATTATTATTTATTTATTTTTTTTTTTTTTGGGGGGGGGGGGGGTGGGGGCTAGAAATGGCAAAACCAAAGGCAAGAGTGTAAGCATTTATGATTTTGTATTTTGTTGACAAAATATGTATCATCTCATTCAGACCTTTCATTTCAATTGATATAATTTTCATTATGAGTTAGTCTATAGATATAAAATTGTTTATACAAATTTATATTGCATATCATAACATGTCTGGCTCAATGAAACTAGTGTGATTTACTCTGGATATAAATTCTAGGGGTTATTAACTTATCTTTCAAAGTTTTTGTAAAAACCTTGAATCTGTGAATTGAAACACTTTTTCTTGATTAAACATATATCAGGCCCGTAACTAGGGGAGGGGGACGCACAACCCAATATAGCGGCAAGAATTCTTAAAAGAAAAACAATGAAGAAGAAAAAGAGAACAAAACGTTTTGGTGTTCGAAATTGTAAATTAAACTTGATTTTCAGACGGAAAAATGCAGCTGGGAGAGGGGATCGACACCCCCTCCCCCCCTCCCCATGTCTGCACAAACTCCTCCACTGAAATCCTATAGTTACTGATGAGTTCGAGGGTCTTAGATTTGGTAGATACTCATGATAATAGACGAGTCGGCAGTCAGGTTTGTGATGATGGTGACCATGTTTATTGAACTACGACGGATACCGGATATATCGGATATCGTATATCGTAACATCCCCCTTCCTCTGGAAAGATTGGGAATCAGTAAACATCACTGATCGATGATTAATGACATATTGCTTTGATAACAATACTTTTGGTAGTATGCAAGTTTTGGTTATTTGCTTCCTAATAAACTTTTTCCAATCAGGTTATATAACATAAAATCTTGATTTGTTTTCAATACGTTTCTTTTGTATTGTATTAACGAATGAGTATTTAACTGTCTATATAATTATATCGTTCCACTTTCAACTTCACAGTTGATCTGCAAGATTGAACATAGTTTTGATATAACTTGATTCCTTTATAAAATGAATTTCCAAACGAAACATGTTTGGGCTAGCATCTGTTTAGACTTATAAACATTATGCTTGTCATACCAAAAATACTGTACAATGATTATACATGCATATGAACAATAAACTTCTCAGACTACATTAAACTAAGCGTCTTCTGTGTTCTTCTTTATCTTCTCTCTTCTTTGAAGAAGTTTAAGAGTTCAGTTTCAATCTTCACACATGTATCTCGCTGGTGTACGGATGTTGCGTCCATATCTTGTTGTGGTTTGCGAGTTTGATGTTGGTCCTTTAGATTGAATGTTCTGAGTTTCTGGTGTTGGCTGATGGTCGTTGCCATTCTGTTGTGGTGTTTCTGCTTGAGTAGATGAAGTGTAGTCTTCGTCGAACCTAACACGCTTTGGAGTAGGGTTGGTTGACGATGGAATCTCCCTCAGGTGAGATCGGTTTCGTCTCAGGATTCCTCCGTTAGGTGTTGATACTTCATACGACCTAGGCTCGTCGCAGACTTTGGATACTTTGGCTGGTATCCAAGTATGATCTTTGGGATGTAGGACTCTGACTGGTTGTCCTACGTGGAGTGGTGGAAGATCTGGACCCGCATGTCGATCGTGCGTTTCTTTCATCTTACTCTGTCGATTCAAGAGATGATCAGTGGTGGTAGATTCTCTTGAAAGATGATGACTTGGCAGTGTTGTTCTGATGGGTCTTCCAAACAACATCTCTGCAGGTGATCTCATGTGACTGTCAACGGGTGTTGCTCTTAGGTGTGACATAGCCAGTTGACTGTCTTGGCCAGTCTGTGAACACTTTTTCAACAGATTCTTGACGGTACGAACCATTCTCTCAGCTAGTCCGTTGGATCTTGGATAGTGAGGTGAAGAGGTTGTATGGGTGATCGACCACTTCCGGCACATGTCCTTGAAGTGCTTCCCGACAAATTGTGGACCGTTGTCGGATACGATCTCCTCTGGTGGACCAAATAGACTGAAGATTCCACTCATCACGTTGGCTACTGCAGCACTTGATGTGTCAGTCAGCTTGTAGACTATCGGATACTTGGAGTAATAGTCGGTGACGAGTAAATAGTCTTGTCTGTTGAGCATGAACAAATCTGTTCCTAGTCTAGTCCAAGGTGCTGAAGGTACATCATGGGGAAGCAACGGCTCTTTCTGTTGCCTTGCCTGGTGTTCCTGGCATGCAGCACATTGCTTTACGATCTGTTCAATGTCCTTGTTGATGTGTGGCCAGAACACTGTCTCACGAGCTAGTCTTCTCGTGCTCTCGATTCCCATGTGTCCAAGATGAAGTTGTCTGAGGATATCTTCTCGAAGTGTCTTTGGTATGATGACTCGACTTCCTTTGAAGAGTACTCCTTGAGATACTCCAATCTCATCTCTGTAAGACCAGAATTCCCTGAGGGATGTCGGCAGCTCCTGAAGAGTTTCAGGCCAACCCTGAGTGACTGTCTGCCACAATGACCTAAGAACAGGGTCATTGGATGTTTCCCTCTGGAGTTCTGTTCTCTTGTGTTGTCCGAAGAAGATCAAGTCGATTTGATGAGTGTCTTCTACTTCGGAGCAGATTGATTCCACTCTGATGTCTAGTGGAACATCGCGTGCTTCCTTGGGGTTAGGAAGACGGCTCAAGGTATCTGAAAGAATCATTTCTTTCCCAGGTCGGTACTTGACTTGGCATCTGTATCCTTGTACCTTGATCAATAGTCTCTGTAGACGAGGTGGTGCGCTTCTTAGAGGTTTCTTCCAAATTGTCTCCAAAGGCCTGTGATCTGTTATCACAGTGAATTCCTTCCCGAATAGGTATGTATGGAATCGGACGATACCAAACACTAGGGCTAAGGTTTCCCTCTCTATGTTCGAGTAGTTGGACTGTGCATTGGAGAGACTTTTGGATGCAAAAGCTACGGGTTTGCCATCTTGGAGCAGGCATGCTCCCAGCCCTTTCATTGATGCATCTACCTCAACGGTTGTCTCTTTCTTTGGGTCAAAGAACTGCAAGCATGCACCCGATGAGACTGCGCTTTTCAGGCTGTTTAAGGCATGTTCGTGATCCTCGTCCCAGACGAATGGAATTTCCTTGTGAAGGAGTTCACGAAGTGGTGCTGACTTCTCTGATAGATTAGGAATGTATGGTGCTAGGTATGTGAATAATCCTAGGCATCTCTGAACATCTTCCTTGTCCTTGGGTGAAGGCATTGTGTTGATAGCTTCAACCTTGCTTGGATCTGGGAAGATTCCAGATCTTGTGTACATGGATCCAAAGTAGCTGATAGCTTCCTTCTTGATAGTACACTTGGAGCTGTTAAACACGAGTCCTTCCTGTTTCGCTGTCTCCATGAGTAAGTGGAGATTCTTGTCGTGTTCCTCCTCTGTTTTCCCGACAATGGCAATGTCGTCTGCGATACATACGCAGCCAGGCACATTCTGGACGATCCTATCCATGTGTTGCTGGAAGATGTCTTGGCTTGTGCATAAGCCGAAGGGTAATCTTTGGAAACAATATCTTCCAAATGGTGTTCTGAAGGTGGTCAGGTCTTGGCATTCCTCTGCTAGGTGTACTGACCAGTATCCAGCCTTTGCGTCTAGCTTGGAGAATAATTGAGCTCCTGCGAAGATTGGTTGGATTTCTTCCAAGGTTGGAATTTTGTGTGGACACCTTTTCAAGGCATCGTTCAACCTTCTGGGGTCAAGACATATCCGTATGGATCCATCTTTCTTCACAACGGTGGTCATCGAGCTACACCAATCTGTGTGGTGTTCTATCTTTCTGATGACTCCTTGCTTCTCCATGTTATCTAGTTCGGCTTTGATCTTGTCCTTCAGATGGACACTGCACTTTCTAGGTGCATCTATGGTGGGCTCTGCATCATCTTTCAGATGCAGCATTGCTTTCCCGCTAAAGCTTCCTATGGCATCAAACTGATCTGGGTATGTTTGTTTGAGGTCACTAACACTTGTGATAGGTGTATGTGTAGGTGTGTCCTTGTGCATTGTATGGATTGTGATAATCCCGAGATCTGTGCAACCTAACAACCCTAAGATAGCTGGTCCATTCACGTCTGCTACGTAGAATGTATGTGTATACCATTCTGGACTCTTGTATCTACACTTTATGTCTAGTGTACCAACGCATGGTATTGATATTTCGCCATATGCTACTAGCTTTACTGGTGTACGTTTCACTACTTGCCTCCACTTGTCACCATATATTTGTTTGGCTGTGCGTACTGTGATAGTATTAGCGCTTGCCCCAGAGTCTATCTTCAGATATAGGTAATGCTGACCTGATTTCTGTGGGCATATGATGTCAATGTTTGCAAAAGCTACTGTACCCTTTGAGTTGATCACTGTGTGTGTTCCGATCGTGTGTATGGTGTCAAAATGTTCGAAGTTTGATGGACCTGCTGATTGTTGATGTTCATGATCTGTGCTAGTATCATGTTCAGTGTCCATTTCACTTATCGGTTTATACTTTCGACCCTTTGATTTTGATCGTGATTGGTTACCGTGTTTCGGTTGACGGTCATCAGATTTATGGTCATCTGATCTACGATCTGGTTTTCGACTTCGATCGTTCTTAGCCTTTCTACAGAACTTGGCCCAATGGCCCTTTGTGTCACAGGCACGACACACATCGTGGTACGCAGGGCACTGACGAGGTTTGTGGATACGTCCACAGTTTCCACACGTCTTTCGTCCCTGGTTCCGCTTGAGTGAATCTATGCTTTCTTTAGCCGGCTCGAGCGTTTCTAGGCATTTTCTGCTCGCCGCAACTGCCTCGTATTTTCGACCCTCTACAAGAATTGCTTCGATTAGATATCCTTTAGGCTGGTCCAATAGGAATTTCTGGAATTCTAGACTTGGTGTTGAGGTGATGACTACCTCCATTATCCGCTCGGCAAGCTCGGATTCCTCAAAATCGCATGTTTTGGCTTTGTCTCTACATCGAGTAACGAATGCGTCAATGCTCTCATCTTGTCTCTGCCGATATCGCATCAGCTCGAGACGATGGACCCGAAAATTAATGTTTACCTTTATTTGTTTCTCAAATAATTTCCACAGCTCTTGTGGTTTTTCTTGGTCGGCCTCCGATAGCCCAGACGCATTGATTCTGCGCAAACCTTCGTTGCCTACAGCGATTTTGATTTTATAGCCTTTTTTTTGTTTTCAGTTATTTCTTGATCTGCCAACACAAGCTCCATTCTCTGCTTGAATAGCTTGAATTCTTCGGGTAGGTCTGATACCTCCCATTTCATCTCTGGATACTTAGTACTCATTGTATATGTCACGTGTGCGTATTGGTTACGACAGATTATATGAATGAGTGTAAATCTTTGTGTTGTTTATCTTAGTGTGAACAGGTCCTAACCGGCTGGTGTTGATAAGGTTCGTACACGTAAACCTGTGTACGCTCTCACACCTGTGTGAATGTCATTAGGTGTCTCATGCAATGAAAATGTTGATCACTCTCACTCAATATGTCCGACAGTGACAATTCCTCACACCAGATATTATTGTTAATATTATCTGAAAACAGGTTTAATGTTCACACCTCTGATTTAGTTTAATTTTAGATTTAAACTTTACTAGTTAAGTTATTATGCAGACCCCTGTGTCAGTGATTGAGCACAGTTATAACTTGATTAGGCTATTCTGAGCAGGCTTTATGAACCTTTATATGCTCATACACACATCACCATTCACGTACGAGTTCATCGGGATTATGCAGTAGCATCAGTGTCTCGGTACACTGTGCGGTATGTACGATGCACGTACTATGCATACGAAAAAGTGCGACGTGACAAATCGCTAATCGACGATAATTTTGCTAATTATACTTCCCAACTGTCGTGAACTGGATCAATTGTGTCTTCAAAAATCAAACTTGATTTCGAAGATCCCACTAGCTGCCACCATGATGAGTTCGAGGGTCTTAGATTTGGTAGATACTCATGATAATAGACGAGTCGGCAGTCAGGTTTGTGATGATGGTGACCATGTTTATTGAACTACGACGGATACCGGATATATCGGATATCGTATATCGTAACAGTTACGGGCTTGATTGCGTTGTTGATCACGTCACTCAAAGAAAATAAATGATCAGATAATTTAATAATGATGAATACATACAGTAAGTCTTTTTTTTTATGTCTTAATTTTTATAAGTTGAGCAGTTTGAGTGGAAAACACATTGTATTTGTACATGGGTAATTCCATGGGGTTGGGGCAATTTTTGTGACACGTGTGACTACCTCTCCAATCAACCATGTTTGCTCAAATTAATTTAGTCGTGCATGGATCATGCAGTTAATGTAAGAATTAGGGGTCTAGACATTCAATGTCTAAAACGTTTGTGTATCTTCCTGTTTAGCTGTCTTGCAAAGTGGTGTAAACTAAAATCATTGTCAACAAGACTACCGGTACGGATGATGTTTTATTTCTGAATTTATTGACCCAAAACAATTTGAACTTTAGTTTGTACTTTGTACTTTGTAGTCACACCCAGGTTTACATGTTTGCCCAAATCTCTGAACAGGGATCTAGAATGAAGAAAAAATAAAATTCTGCTTCGTAATCATTACTGCAACAAGCCTCAGTCAAGGGTCTATATTTCCTTAGATAAAAACTAGAATGATATTTCTTTTTCATAACAAAGATATTTCTGCATTTGAAGAAAAAAACCAGTTCAACTTTACATCATAACATAGGCTAAGTGTTCATTTTGTATTTTCTGATAGAATCACATAGTTAATGTCGATCATGCTATCTTTTTTTCTTCCAGATCATCGAAAAAGATGCAGACCCAGATACTACTCTAGATGTCTATCTTCGAACAAAGTGTATCCTTTAATATGTACATACCTGTAGGCTGTATTACCTAAATCGATCTATTTAGTTCACACATTTAAAACAAAACTTGTAGAAGTTATCAAAGCATACAGCTATTTGAGGATATCTTAAATTTGGGATATTTGCATGCTAAATTACTTTCAGAACCATATGAAAATGCTATCACCTTTTTAAGTTGACCATATGCTTTCATTGACTTGTAAAGAATAAAAGAATGTGGAACTAATAGGTTAGCAACAGGTTTTATATTTCACAAAGGCCAGGTTTTAGGTTAATTTCAAAGTATTAAGTATACACCCATTTCATGATGTCTTTAATTTGATTTGATTTGAGGGGGGGGGGGGAGGTAAAAGTCTTTTCCAGTGGAAAGTAGTATTTCTGGAATTTTCTTTGAGGATATATGTATTGGGGGGGGGGGGATGCGAGGGACGAGGGAGCATAGTGAACGAGAGTGGCAAAGATGACGGAAGTGACTACCCCCTCACTGGTTTTTGAGGTTATGTTGTATCGAAAAAATACATTCCGTAGCAGAAAAACAAGCAATATACTGTTTTCACATTTCACTTTTACTTTGCGGTTAGTTAGTGTGCAGTCCGAAGGGTTGTAAATAGTTAGTAGGGAGCTTGGGCATGGATGGGAATTCTATTTCCCACTTTAAGCCTGAAGTCTTTCATCTACGGCTGATTGTCAACGAAACGGAGTTAAGTCTTTTGATAATTCCATTTGTTGCTACGGCAGGCAGCCAGTGAAAACGAATTTGTTTAATAAAATTATGGAAATGCAAGCACTACTTTACTCAAACAGAACTTTGTTATTCCTAGCTCATTCTTCCTGATTGAGGTGTCATATGAAAGGGCAGAAACTCAACTTCCTAGAAATGTGATTTTCTCTTTGTAATTCAGATACCTTCCACCAAATGACTTTTTGGTTTCCTCTCTTCAAATTGATTTTAATTGCATTATGAGTTGCATCAATGAAAGAGGAGGATCTAAGCTTGCAAATATATGTCATTTATCAATTATAAATGTAATTAAGTTATGATTAAACATTAATAATTCTTGGTTTCGTTTTTTCTGGGACGCACTGTAGTGATTTTTCTACTTTTTTTGCATTTTCCAACATCTCTGACACTGTTTGCTTTTCTGCCTGAAGAACTCTGTTCAGTTCATGAAGGGGACGTGTGATTTATTGCTACAGAGAGCGCTAGATAGCTCACCCCAGATTTACATGTAAGACCATCATCTAGATCCCTCGCTTTGCCGTCGCCAGTCTCCTGGCCAAACTCTAACAAGCTCTTCAAAATTGCTCCGTAGTTGGAAGGCACAGTCTGTATAACCATCTTGTTGGACACAGCGGTTTTGTGGTGGTAGAAGCAGCAGGGACAGAATCTCCACATACATGCTAGAAAATAGCTTGTTGTATTTCCCACTTCTCTTGTAGAAGTTTGCCAGATCTTGTTCTAGTTGAAATGCATCAGTGAGAGATGCATGTATGCTTGGCATGCATGTTGAGATACCAAGTTCACACAATGTGCTGCACAGTGACGGTGGAGACAAAGTGGATATTCCGCCCGCAGAATTGTTTGACATCCATTGAATTTCCCGGCCATGTTGGCGGCTCCATTATAGGCTTGTCCCCTCAAACATGTAAGGTCAACTCCAAGTCGTAGTAAGGCTTCCTTTACTGTACTTGCCAAAGCACCTCCTGTTGTCTCCTGCTGCTCATAGAATCCTACAAAGTCCTCATGCACTTCAAGATTTTGTTCAACATGTCGAATACATACTGATTCTTGTTTTTTCATTTTGATATCCCGGGTTCTATCAAGAATTACTGTGTATTGTTGAGAGTCCTTGATTTCCGCGATGATAGCTTGGAGGATTGTATGGGAGAATATATTCTGGATCTCCTCAATGCATTCCATTTCCTGTGATGTGAACATTGTTGACCATCGAAGCCACTGCCTCAGTTCAGGGTCTAATTCTGTTTGCATCAGTAGTAACTGTTGCAGATTTCCTTCTGTATCTGCATGCCCACGGAAAGGCATTCCTTGTCGCAACAAGTACCTCACTGCCTGAACAAAATACAAGAAAACTTTTCCTGTTCAGTTCTTGTTGTTTACAATTTTGCTTGCTGAGTTGTAGTGCCACGTTCACTCCTTCATCTTGCTGAGAAATCTTGAATACTGCTTGCCTAAGAAATATTGAGGCTTGATGATTCAACGCTCTGTTCCAGTTCCTGAATCCAGTTGTAGTAAATGTTAACTCACATCTCTCAGTCTTCATCAGACCTTGCTTGATAGCACTTGAGCATTGAAAGCAAATGACTCCTTGTAATTGTGAAGAAAAATGTAACCATGGAAACTAATTATACCAGTACTTTGGGAAATACAACTTTTTTGTTAACAAAATAAAAAAATATGTAGAGATAAGGTTAACGGTTTAGATTTTATTCATAAAGTAGTAATGTTATTGCTAATTTGGACGATGTACGGACTGTGCGGCAAAATAATGGTCAGAAGTTTGGATATTTGTGTTCCGTTATAAATATCCAATCCTGCCCTTCTGCTGGGCCATTCAATCATTTTAGAGTTGTCAATATGGTAGTGATACCTAGCACAGAAAGGCCTATATTTATTATGGCTTTTTCATGACAGAGTAATTCATAATAAACATTGAAAAGGTGGAACCTTACATTAGTTCTGCAAGCTCTGATTATCTGATGTGTTTTATTGTGTTTTGTTCCAGTAAAAGTAAGAGTATAAATAAGAGTGAAAATATGAAGCAGTTTCCTTAACGATGTGAGTCCAGTAAAGCTACATGGAACGAAGCAAGCGTGTGGTGTAGGGGCATGCGGGGCATGTACTGTCATGCTTTCATATGTCCATCCTCAGACGAAAGCTATACGGTAAGGACTGACAACATTGCTGATGGACATTGATGATTGTCCACATCAAAAATTACTCTCTCGCAATCACCTCCTATCTCTCTGTCCCCACCCCTCCCACCCCATCTCTCTCTCTACCTCTACCTCTCATTCCCCCCCCCCCCTCTCTCTCTCTCTCTCTCTCTCACACACACACACACGCTCTCTCTCTGCTCTCTCTCACACACACGCTCTCTCTCTCTCTCTTTATGTATACATGTATAGGGGTTCATAGCTATCCTGTTATCAGGGAAATCCTGAAAAATGTGTTTCCCTTTTTTTCCAGTCACTGAAAAATCAGGGAATTTAGATAAAGAAAACACTAAAATGCATGGAAATGGTATATTGATCAAACATTACAATGTGCTTAGCTCAAAATAACATTCATTTCCTTATGATATATATATTCTTTTTGCACTTTAACTATATCTCATCAATTCTATCAAATTCAACTCAAGTTTTGTATGAAAACATATGTTTGCTGCTATTTGGCTGAAATTGCGATACTTCACAAAATCTCTCTGAAATTCAACTCAAGTTTATGAAGACATGTTTGCTGCCATTTGCCTGAAATTGCGATACTTTACAAATAACATAAAACAAGCATACCGGTAGGTTACAAGGTACACCTTTGCAATTCCAATGAATATAGATTGGCATACTTTATAGAGTCAAGAAGCCAATTAACATAATTATAATGTTACATGACATTTATTATTCAAAGCCTTGTTTACAGTACCGCATGATGTAAAGAAAATGGGTTAAAAATTGCACAAAGTCTGCTCATAATCAAGTTCTTTCTTCTCTTTCATTTGATTGATGCAGCCATGAAGCAGTTGTCTCCTGCCTGACGCCCATCTGTCTCCTTCACGGCAAAGCAATCACTACTGTAGAGGGTATTGGAAGCACTAGAGATAGGCTTCATGTAGTTCAGGTACTTATGGAAGAGCATAAGCCCAAAGGGTACCCAATCACAAACAAATATTGTAATATGTATTAGTATGTTCAGGGTTCCATGTTGCTGTACTTATTTCAAATAAGAACTTCAAATATTACTGCTATAAAGAAGATATACATGCATATATATAAAAATCCAATTACTACTTTTGCGTACAAATCCGTAAACTTGAGTGTGAATGTCAAGTTTTATGTATTATAAAGTTCTGTTTACTTGTAATTTTTACGATCAACTTTATTTAAACAATCATGTACCTTGTATTGAATAATGTCTTTAAACTTGTCTGTCGAGGCAATCCAAAGGAAACAGTGGTCACTAGATACAGATGACCTCTCTAGACAGATTCTACATCATATCTATCTTTCTTCTTTCTATCTTTTTGTCTGGAGAGAGAGAAAGAGAGAAAAGATATGAAAGAGAATTTCTGGTCATTATGTTGCCTCCTTCTGTAGGAGCGTCTTGCCAAGAGCCATGGTTCTCAGTGTGGTTTCTGCAGTCCTGGGATGGTCATGTCCATGTACACCCTGCTACGAAACAACCCCAAGCCACAGGTCAAGGATATCCTCAGGCACCTGGAAGGCAACCTGTGTCGCTGCACCGGATATAGACCTATCCTTGATGGATTTAAGTCCTTCTGCGGGGTAAGCTAACCAAGGGATGTACAGGAGGGGGTTGTAGTTTGTATTCATGCTGTGTCGCTGCACCGGATATAGACCTATCCTTGAGGGATTTAAGTCCTTCTGCGGGGTTAGCTGACCAAGGGATGTACAGGAGGGGGTTGTAGTTGGTATTCATTCTGTTTATGATGAATTATTGATGTTTCATTCATTGATTTGTATCCTTCTGCGGATAAGCTGAAAGAGTTGGATATTGGTGGTTTAAAATAATTATAATGTGATGCTTTATTGCTTGTTAAATTCATGGATCTAAGTCCTTCTGCTTTATTAATTGATAAAGGGATGTACAGGAGAGGGTGGTAGTTGGGGTGAGTACTGTACTATCAATTACTCAAAGTAACTTTCCAATTCTACAATGTTCTTGCAAAAGGATAGATTTTTAGTAAATGGTAAATAAGTTACTTTTAGCCTTCAGTGACAAAAGATTATGACATTCATTCTATTTACAGTGTATTCTTGTGTTTGAATGTAAGCATTGGAGGTCAGGAAATTTTTACTTTGGGGATTGAAATTAAGTTAATTAAAATATACAACTATATCAGATTTGTTATCTTTGTCTTTTTTTTTCATCTCGCAAAATCTTTCAATGTATTATTGGGTGATTGAATGATACCAAACTACAACTTGATGAATTTGTGTTATATTTCAGAAGGAGGATTGCTGCCAGCGAACAGGTAGCTCATGTCAGTCAGAGCCGGATTATCAGCCTATGAGTGTGAGTACACAGATATCATTTCTGATAACATTAAGTCAAAAAGGCTAACTCATCCATTATTTCATGATTAATGATAATGTATTTTGATTACTGACATTAGTATGGAAATTAGCCATGAATATTCAATATTTGCCTGAGAATGTATGTTACGAGGCACACAAAAATATTATCTGTATAATATCAATGGAATTATATAATTCTCATTCATTGCATGTTCCTTTCACAAACTATGCAACCAAACTCTATATTTCTTTTTACAGATGGTGAATGATGAAGATTGGAAACCTTATGATCCTTCTCAAGAACCGATATTTCCTCCTGAACTTCTAGTAAGATTCAAAGTGTATGCTATTTATGTTCTGTGAAGAAATATAAAGATGATGCTGTTTATTTTCTATGTCTTTGCATTATTTTTCAGTGTCTTGATGTTTGGTCTGTTTCAAGCTTCTACATAGCAAAAGTACTGAAATCTTAAAAGTAGTTGGTAACATATTTGACAATAGAGCTTGGACTTGCCATGTGCTGCTTAGAAAACTGTAATCATGTACGAAATGAAAATAGAAATGAAAATGAAAATTGAATTGGAGATTTCGAAATTGAATTCAGAATTGATGCTTGCATGAAATCAGGGCAGAATACAATATCTCTTTAAGATTTATCTTTCTCTCTCCTACCTCACACAGACCAATGCTGAAGAATACAATCAGACAGTGATCTTTCGGAGGGGTCAATCCACATGGGTCGTGACGTCAACATTGGAAGAACTGCTTCAACTCTTAGCGGACAACTCACAGGCGCAGCTCACCATGGGGAGCACCATTATGAGTAGGTCATTTATCTTGGTTATAATGTGTTCCAAATGAAGAATGGGACCGTCTAATATGACAACGTAGCCGGAAATCTCTAATAAATCTAAGAACAAAACCATTTCCACTCTTCAACAATTGTGCAAACTCCAGCTCAGTTGTCTACACAATGCATGCATCTGTCTTGATGAAATGTAGTTTAAATCATAAAGTGATCTGAAATAATATGTAAACTTTGGTGACTTCTGACTTTTATTCAGTAAATTAAGCTCTTTTGGCTCTTTAACGCTTGAATTTAATTCATCTTAATCAGTCATTAATTTTCTTGTACTCAACCAATATTATGTGATCTGATGGCTCAACCCACGGGCAAGCCAACAACAGATTAGATTAGATTTTATTGAACGATTTTAGTTGAGTTAGTTGAGTTAGTATTGGTTTTAAAAAAAGAAGTTTTGAGCCAATGAATCACACATGTCATTGAAAGGATGGGAGGACTGCATCAATGTCAAAGCAATGACAGTTTCTATCTCATTCCCCACCAGGTACGCTCAAGTACGAAGGAGATCACTTCCCTCTTCTTGTCTCACCTGGAAGAGGAGTCACAGAACTGACCCAGGTCACAACCTCTGACACAGGGGTCACCTTTGGGTCAGGGGTCAGCGTGTCTCATTTTGAAGAGCATCTCAGGGGGATGGTAGAGAGGTTGCCGGAGCACCAGACTCGGTCTGCCAGAGCTATAACTGACATGCTTGGTCAGTGGGCAGGGCAACAGATTCGCAACATGGCTGTGAGTTCACCTTTGACCTTTTAACCCAGCCCTTTTGTTATAGATCCTTCATTAAGTTCATATCAATGGAATGTGGTGGATGGCTAATACCTGTTCATATATCCATAAAAAGATAAAGTACGTATTTTTCCTCCTTTGAAACGTATTGGACACAACTTAATTTTTGTTTCCCATATGCATTTAAATACCAACTGATCTAATATCCTGTTATGTTAGGGTTTTGCATATATCTAACAGCTTAACATATCAAGATGTGGGCACATATTGCAAACATTGTACAACCATACTTGCCAATATAACATCATATGACATCTTTATTTCCTATTAATCAGGGTGAATCGGAACAATTTTTGTTGTTTTACCGGTACTTAATATTTTTTGTCAGTGATGAAGCACACTCTTTTTAATATTTGATGTATCATGAATAGAGCTAACAAAAAAAGACCTAGGTCGTTCTTAGAGATAAAAAGATTTGGAAAACTGTTTGCTCCTATAAACCACTATACTCCTATTCACACTGTGTTATTGTTTGTACATACTTCTTTCCACTCAGAGTATTGGTGGGAGTATAGCAGGAGCAAGTGGGATGTTGGATCTCTGTATCATCCTCATGGCAACCAAGACAACCATTACTCTTGTGAAAGCGGGAGGTATGGTCAGGATATACTATTTCTAGCATTTTGCTTCTGTATCTTTTATAGTGTAGCCGGTGATCCGACAGTATGCTACGGCTACAATGCCTCAATGCTTTTTTGGGGGTCAAAATTGTAGGATTAGGGTTGCAATTGGGTTTTAGGTTAAGTTTAGGGTAAGGGTTAAGAATAGTTTTATGTCCAGGGTGGAAGTTCGGAATTAGGTTGGTGTGGGAAATTACTGTGGAATGATTGTCGCAGGTGAAAGTGTTGTACAACCAGTGTAACCTGCTTTAGTGGCCCCCTGTATAGAAAGGGTTGTATAACACAATCTCTGGCAACACTTACTCTGGGCCATCATTGTACCCCTAACCCTAGACTTAACCTAATATCCAAATTGCAACCCTTTCCCTATCCCTTTATCTTTGATGATACAGAGCCCCAGGCCTTTGTCACAAGTGCAAATGCCAAAATAGTGGCCACCTGTATCACCTGCCTATACAGACCATATTTTTTTTCCCCTTGTGTGGTCTTCTTCCTCTTCATAGTCTTTCCTCATCAGCAGATGATAATTGTTGAATGTTAGTATCAATTACTGGTACAGCACATATTTTATTTATCTCATGACTATTATTTATAGGCTTACCACAACTAAGATCAGGCAAAACATCACAAAAATAATACCTAGGTTGCTACTTTATGTTCTTTTTTCCATTACACATAATATACTGGTATGTTTATATTTAAAAACGTTAATAAAATGAATAAATACCTTGGACTTGTTTGACCACTGTAAGGTCCTACCTTGCTAACATTACTCTGGGCCATTATCGTACACTAACCAAAATCGTAATATTAATATTAACTGTGCCTGAGTGCCGTACAACCATTGTAACCTTGAATGTAACATTTAGGCTCTTTAACTCTGCCTTACAGGAGCCAGGAGAACCCTTCCTCTGGACAAGGATTTCTACCCAGAACCCAACAAGTCAGTCCTGGCTAGAGATGAGATTATTGAATCATTGCATATACCTTTCACAGGACAGGCAAGTGTTATGTTAAAATATTCCAATTTGTTATGAACTATTTATGATTTATAGGACAAGTTTTCATAAAACTGCTTTTATATATTTAAACTTTGATTCTGTTTTTTGTTATATCTCCTTGCTAGCAGTGCTGTAAATCACATTTTCATTTTCTTTTCTCTCATTTGTCTTGTAGTCAATTTAAACAAATCATGATAATGTGTATTAAATTTATGAGACCTAATGATGAGACCTAATATAAACTAAATGATATTTACAGTGCAACTTTACATTCATTTTCAATTGTACTTGGTCACATATGCCACACAAAATACACAATAGAGGCAAGTATAGCCAACAGTCAAAATGATCAAATATGTGTGTGTAAAACTTGGGATTTTACTGATGTATATCAATCAGATATGAATATTTATATTTGGGAACCGACCTTAAACATCACCAATCGAAAAACATGACCCGTTCCTAACCATCATCTGTCAGAGTCAATTTTGGGGCGGAGATAGATAGGTGACCAAGTGAATGTATGGCTAGACCAACTTGTATCTCATCTGTGTTTGAGTGTGTAATTGGGTTTTAACATGTGTATCAATCATGTTCAATAAGGTACATCTTGGGACCGATCGAACCGATCTTAAATGTCACAAATGAAAGAGTGACTCTGTTTTGAACCAGGGTCTTTCAGAGTCGTAGTGAAGACAAAGAAAGAGGCTGTACAGCTAGACCAGTTCACATCACCCTGAATTTTAAGCTCCAAATGTGCATCAAATATGAACTTTGTTTGCTTTTATTGTGTCCCTTTCACTGTAAGTACAAAAGGAGCTATTGATTCAACAAAAAAAAAAAAAAAAAAACCTTTATCCTGAATATGTGATGCAATAGTCAATAGCAAATTATTACATGAACTTTTTAGAATATTAGTAGTATTATAGTACATAGTATATGTGATATTGTATCTTCACCAGCACAAGAGCACATGTATTAAGAGCAGCATGTACCAGTTCATTCCTTGTCTTAATAGACAGACATAAGAAAGTAGCGTTCATCTTTATGTTATAATGTCCATGTATGTACTATTACACACTTTCTCTTCATGCTGTATCGTTATTTTTGTCAACAGAATGATTACTTCTTTTCTCATAAAGTGGCCGAGCGTCGTGACAACTCTCGTGCATCAATCAGCTGTGGGTTCAGGGTGACCTTTGAACCCGAAGGTCAAAAGGTCAAGGATCTTTGTCTGGTGTTTGGTGCTATTGATGACAATCCATTTGTAGCTCAAAAGACATGCAATAGTCTGATCGGACAGTAAGTATCTTTACTTTTTTGAACATTGTTATTCAATTGTATTACAAAACGTAATACTTACTTATCAATATTTAATATTTGAAGAGTGCATTTTCCATTTTCCTATCATTTATCGAAACTGTCAAAATTCTTGGTAGTTGGACATCTCAAAAGCTTAGTACATGTATCTCTTTTGATATGTTTTCAAGTTTCTGTGTATCATTTATCTGTATTTAGATTTGTAAGGACATTAAAAATAATTCCCTTCAAACATGCATTATGTACAAATAAACCAGTTCTGCATCCACTTTCAAGTGATTCAACCTTTTAATTAGGAATCATCTGCTTTTCTATCCCTCACCATCCTTTCCAGACCGTGGAACCAAAGTTTTCTGCAGGATGCGATCCAGTCGGTTACCATGGAGATTACACCAATACCTCATCCTCATGAGATTTCAGCAGAGTACAGGAAGAGTGGTATGGTGACATGTCTTCTCAGGTTCTATGTTCAAGTCTCCCAACGCATCGACAACAAGCAGGTATGCAATTTGAAATTTGGTAATTTGGCCTTTTATTTGGTAAAACTAGAGAGAGAGGGAGAGATTGATGTAAAATGATAATGTAATTGTTAAACTTTGACAGATCATGCGAAGTTAAAGGTGATTTGACTTAGTCAGTGAAGTACGAATTACTCATCAATATGTATTTAGATTCTGAGAACAATACATCCCTGTCAATTAACAAGAACAACAACAAAAATCAAGATTTAGTATGCCGCAAGAAGATATGATATTAACAAGAATTCCATTTACACTGCAGTACAAGTAAAAGTACTTCAAATTAATTCTTGCTTCCTGCAGTCTTTAAAAGGCTACATAGACACTTAATTTAAGCGAAAATTAATGGTACTATTGTTTTCCTTCACTTGTATCCAGGCCTTGACTGGTCCTTTCACCCATGGTCAGTTATCAGATCCTAGCATACCTGCATCCTACAATGGGGAAGGCCCAGTCAGTACACAGATCTATCAGGTAACACTTCTGTTGGTTTTGTTTTGTACTGGATAGATTCTGTGCCTTTTTGTATAGATTCTGTGCTGTAATAGCAAAAAGGGTATCGTTAATCATTTGTATATACAATTAAACCTGTCATAAAAACAGCTCTAGGGAAACAAGGAAAGTGGCCTTTATAGGCAGGTGATCTTTATGTGCAGGTTCCTTTAGTGCAGGTTCAATGAGAAACCATATTCAAGGGAAAGAGAAAAAAAAAGTCTTTTTATACAGGTTTGACTGTAATATATTTTAGATTTTAATTTGGAGTAATTTTTAATCACTTAACAAGATGAATAACTATCATAGAAATTTGTTAAGCACACATAGAGGACAGGGTTCTGTAGTTGAATGCATGCTAGAGTGTTTCGTTATGGTAGAAGTTGTTCATTTTGATAATCGATTACCTTCCCTCAGGGCACAAGTGGAGGTTCTAATCAGGTTTAAAATCCACAATGTCTTTGTTACAAAACTTGGTTACACAGCTGCTGTTCTGAGCTTGAATGGGGAGTGCAGAAGGAGAGAGATATACAAGATATAGATAGTAGAAGTTTTCAGTGTACATAAAGGCACAAGTGCGCTAACTTCTTTGAATCCCGGAATCCATTGTAACATAACCACTGTCCCAGGGTTATGCTTTTTCTCTTAATATGATAAAAAAGGAATGGTGGAGCAGAGATTTACAGTAGGATTACATTAGTGTATCTCTTGTTTTTATGGATGTAGCATATTTTGCAATTAAGCTCTTTAAGATACATTGACAGTCATCATATGTTTCTTACTTTCCCACCAGCCCCCGCCCGTAGACCAGCCGGATGCTGATCCCCTAGGTAGACCCATTGTCCATCGGGCAGCTCTTCAGCAGTGTTCTGGGGAGGCGGTCTTCTGTGATGATATACCCGTACAAGAAGGTAGGAATCTGGAGTTGTTTTCTGTAATTATCTTATGCTTATTTCAGGGACGAATAATTTGATTGTAATGGCTCAACTAAATTTAAGATGCATCATTGGGTAATGTCTGCACATTCATGGCTGCTTGCGCTGAAGACATAGCATTTAACACTAATGAAAATTTGCTTTTTTTAATTTGTCAAGACAAGTAGAATTATTATTGTAATATTTTAGTTTTAGTTTTATGTGTATTTATTTCCAGGAATACAACAATTAAACATCAATCATAAAAAAATTAGAGAACAGTGTTGTACATAAATAGATACCAAGAACAAATACATGTACCTGAGGAATGTCTAAAGTAATTTTTGGAATTTACGTTTTAGAGCTCATTTCCTTATTGCTTGTTGTTTAAAAAAGAAAAAAGAAGAAAAGAAGAAAACAGACACTAGAGAAGAGTTATCTTTTATCCACAGGTGAGCTGTACATGGCTTTGGTTGTCAGTTCAAGAGCCCATGCAAAGATTGTGTAAGTCTATGTCTTTTACAACATAGTGAATGAAGTGTGGTATATCGTACCTGTACATTTATATCAAATATCATAATCAATTAAAGACAATTTCAGTAGCCTTGCCTCAACTATTGAGCTGTGCAAACATTACAATGACGTGTTACATAATTCAAATAGGGTTTCTATTGGATGTATATTTACAGTAGGGTATTAAAATTGCCCTTAAAGGTAATACACAGTCTTGGTATGGGGTCATGAATTTGGTTCAAATGAATATATTGAAAGCAAATGCGATCCTACAATATTTAGTGATCGTTGTCGCGATTAATCGAGTCTAAAGTTATGAAATGGTAAATAATACACTCTTTATGTTGTATAGCTCCCTCTCAAAGTCAAGATATTAATTAAGTTACAAAACAATGTTTCTTGACTAAATCGACCAAATATGCTATTCCCGTTTGGAAATTATATATCACAACTACATATTCTGAGATTTTCATGGTCACAGCTACCATTGTACGGCCATAGGCGCTATTTGAAATTCATCAAAATTTACCGGGAGCACCGGTAAATTTTTATATTCAATTTCTCTCGAAAGCAGAAGTGTTTAAGGGCTCAATTTTCTAGTGCTTATAATATATCCAAGGGGCATCCAAATATATCAATCTTTGCAGTCATGTTATACTAACATCTACCGGTATATTTCATATCATGCGGTAATTGACAAACTATATTTTGTGCTACTATACTGCCTCAGGAGCGTGTGTCGCGTATTCACCTGTCATTCATTTGCATTCTATTCCATTCAGCTGTGTGGATGCAAGCAAGGCCCTTGCTCTAGAAGGGGTAGAAGCGTACGTGAGCCACAAAGATATTCCAGGAGATAAGTGTATCGTTGAAGGGTATGAAGTCTTCGCAACAGAGGAGGTGAGATTGAATTGGTTTGATTCAATTAGCTGCTGTGCATTTCATGCTAATAGGAGATAAAATGTATTGGAATGGAGTTATTTGTAAACCAGAGACTTTATACATATTAAAATTTGTATCACAACTGACTTAATTGCGATTTGCGAAAGTTTCTTCTTGTAAAACTGCTGTTATTTACAAAATTGCGAAAGTTTCTGATTTTACAGCAATGACTTGAAGAGATCTAAATCAAATAAAGAGTGAATTATATGGAAGTAATTGGAATAGGATTTTAGGATGACTACATCTTGACTACCACCCTCTGTACAATTACTACCTTCTCACAGGAAAGTTAACCCCAATCACCTCCAAACAATTAGATATTGAGTGTTGGTTGGTTACTTTGTTTGTTTTACCTGATTGTTAAGTAAGCGTGTGTGTACTCGTAAGTAAGCAACCAGCGGACCGACAGCTTTAAGTCCTCACTGAGGGACTTGGTAATGAGGATCAATGCCTTACTAAAGGGCACTGGCACATCAACTTGGTTTCGAACCCGGAACCTCCAGGTTACAAGACCACTGCTCTACCACTGAGCCATCATGCCTCTGTTTTATTGTGAATTTCTCGATAAATTATAATTATACTTTTGAAAGTGCATGGAAACAAAAATTATTCATGAAGCATTTTCATTACTTTGAGAGTATTTTGTCTACATTGCAGACTATGGCACGAGATCTGTAGATATTTTGGGTCACATGAACCATATGCTAACTACAAAATGTTTCTTTTGATAGGTCCACTGTGTTGGTCAGTGCATCGGTGCCATTGTAGCTACCTCACACCGTCTCGCCAACAAGGCTGCCAAGCTGGTTGAAGTCCAGTATGAAGACCTACAGCCGGTCATCTTGACCATTCAGGTAAGATGAGGTCAACACCTTAGGTCACTTTGATCCAAATATAGTGCTGGAGGAAATGCTCTGACATTTGCTCCGGCAACAGTTACTCTGACTTTTTTACATCAAAGATATAGGGTTAGGGTAAGGGCTGCAATGAGATATTAAGTTATGTTTAAGGATACCATCATAGGGTAAGGGTTAGGGTATAATGTTTGGTACAGATATGAAGTCAAAAATTTGAATAGTGTAGGATATTGAACTTAAGCAATTTTTGCTAGAGCATGTATCATACAACTGCTGGAGTCACAAAACCCCAATATATTTGGTGTGGAAAGTAAATGTATATATTTATATCATTCTTAATTTTCCTATCTTATGTCAGACATTCACTGAAAAAGTGATAATAATAAGCACTATCTGAAGAGCTGTACCATGCTTGATCAATGTTTATTATCTCCCATCAAGTCAACTTCTTATCCTAGTTTTAGTGAGGCTTCGGACAATACCTTAACCTGCTTCAGGATGCAATGAACCAGCAGTATAGTAGTGTGTAGGACTAATTGGTGTACTCCTCTCTACGCTGGTAATACCTCAGTCACACTTCCAAGCAACTCCAAACTGAGTGAATCTTAGCTGTATGAGGTACTGCTAGTTCTCATGCAGTCTGTTGTCAGTCTTGTGTTGGTCTCGTCGGTGTGACTTGGATGTAACTCTAATGAATCTCTACCATTGCAGAGGTTTTTAGTCTAGGCAAGGCTTTAAACCATTCCTTTTTTTCCAATTCAATTTAATTCAATTTATTTCTGTTTCTAACAAAACATTGCAAATCAATTATAATCATTTACAATAATTTAGGAATACATATTGGAAACAGAGGGGTCCTTAACTCGTTCCAGGATGTAGTGAAGTGATGATGCATAGGACTAATTGCATATAGGACTAATTGGCCATTCTTATTCCATCTTTGAGGTATAGTATAATGCTAATACTTAAACCATACCTTACCCAACTCAGGATGCGATCAAAGAGGATGCCATCTTCCGCGGACCCGACATCGACTCTGAATTCCACCATGGTGACCTGGAGGGGAGCTTCCAGCAGTCTGAGGGGATCCTGGAAGGCACCTTTGATGTGGGAGGCCAGGAGCACTTCTACATGGAGACTCAGATGTGTGTTGTGAGACCCGGTGAAGACGATGAAATGACCATCCATGCCTCTGCCCAAGCTATTACAAACGTGCAGGTAATGATTACTTGTATGCCTCCGACCTCCAAAGGCTGTACCGGAAGTATTAGTTTTAATGTTTGTTACCCTCACATGCTTGTAAGAAACTATGAAACTATAGTAGTATATTATTATGTAATGTATGTCTTAACCCATTTCCAGTGGGAACGGGGTGGATTCTGTATTAAGCCTATGGGAATTAAAGAATTCAGTGGTTAACGTGTTATTTTATGGTGACCCTATCACAGACCTCATGGTTTTAGGGTATCTCACCTTCTTCCTCATTTCATTCAAAAGCGAATATTGATGTTATCATAATTTCATACCAGACAGAAATGAATGTGTTTTTAATTTGAATTTGAATTTAATATCCCCACTCCCCTTCTTCAGTAGATGAATGAAGGAGATATAGGAGAATTGAGGAGGAGAAATAAGAATGGTGATCAGCAGAAAATGTTATAAGGAGAACAAGCAGCTGCGATGAGAAAAATTTTCAAGGGAAAGAGCATTGAGTAGATGTTTGTTCTACATTGCCTGTTCATCTATCACATGTATTCATGAATACACAGCTTGTAGGCTAGGTGTGATTGTATTAATTCTTTGCCTTGGAAAGAAAATACATGACTAGACCTGGACTGGAAAACTAAAATTGGCTTATTATTTCCAGTAGTCGGACCAGACTGTAAGCAGCATCCTAGAACTGGACCGGAAACCTTTTAACAGACAGTTTGTGGTTTCCCGTCTTGTGTGACCCTCCCCTTCACTTTATGAGATATGCAAAAGGTTGTATGACACATGGTCCGAAAACGTTTGCTCGGCTATTATTTTCCTATACTAACAAAGTTCTTAATAACTTCGAACCTGGACCAAACGCTATAACTAAATCTAACCCAAAACCTACACCTAACCTACATCTAATTTGCAACCGTATCCTCAACCTTCCATCTTTCTCAAAATAATGCCTGGAGCACCTTTGAACCCTTTGCCTACAGGAACCACATAGTCCATGTATATGAACCTGTGAGAATGAGAGTAATCAGTATTCAAAGGGTTGAAATATTATCATTTTGAAATGAGTCACTGCTTGTGTAGAGGTGTTGTGGTCTAGTGGATACGTCGCCGTACTGTCGACCACAAGGTCCGCAGTTCGAGTCCCGCCGTCGCACTAATGTCCTTTGGCAAGACATTGATCTACATTTGCCACACTCCACCGAGGTGAAGTAAATGGGTACCTGGTAGGAATTTATTCCTTGAAATGCTAGAGTGCCGTATGGAAGCTGTGCTAAAGCCAGGGTAATAATGGGGAGTGTCAGGAGGGTCAAATCTGACTGACATGAGCACTAAACAAGAACCCACTATTATTATTATTATTATTATTAACCAGAATGCTGTTGCGAGAGTTCTTGGTGTCCCTCGTAATCGCATCGCTGTTCAGGCCAAGAGGATCGGGGGAGCCTTTGGAGGAAAAGAAGAGTTCCTCACACACAATGCTGCATGTGCTGTAGCTGCCAAAATGTGAGTACTACACTGTGTATGTTTTCTGTTCAGAGTCCAAAGGCTTTTTTGTTCGAAAGTCAATACTTGCGTGGGTACTGTGTTCTGGCAACAATAGCTCTGTTGTTAGTTTCTTACACAGGAGGTATTTCTAACTTTAACCCCGAAGTCACCATGATACATTACGTAACCCTAACCCTAACCCTCACCCAATCCTAAATTTTATGTTACTCGCCGATCGCAAGACCAACCTGCTCACAAACCTGTGCACTGCTCATTTTAAGAAAAAAGTTAAAATACTCCTGATCACTATTTTCTCCAACTTTGTTTGTTTCTCCATCTTCATCAAAACCATAGAAACATACATATTTGTTCCTGTTTACAGGTTGGGCCGATCCGTGCGCATCCGATTAGACCGCTCTACAGACATGCTGATGTCAGGTGGACGCCATCCATTCCACGCAAAGTATCGCGTCGGTTACCGTAGCGATGGCCGTATCCTGGCTCTGGATGCAGATCTCTATGCTAATGCAGGCTATCGTAATGAGTCTACTACTTGGGTAATATACTTTTGACTTAAAGGGTACCATCACCAAACAATTTTTTTTGCTCTGTATGTTTAAGGTTTCGTGTATCCAAGTACATTAATCAAAATATGAGTTTTACACATTACTGCTGTTGAAAGTTTAGAGATGTTAGGGGTTTCATGTCGCTATATAATAATCAAAGTATAAAATATAACTTTTCTATAAAGAGTTATTGTAAGTTTAGTAGGAGGTTTCTCGGCAAAATGTGTATCACCACGCATTAGTTAAAAACATGTACTTTGACATGATTGGTAAGACTGAGCTTCGTTTGAGAGGGGGGCATTTCCAAAACTGGTCTTTACCTTAAACGGTGGAGTACTATTATGGTATGTTAGTATTTGAGTATTAGTATTTCAATGGATATTTTGTGATAAGAATTTTTAAAATCCAGTTCCGCTCATGGAAATACCTGCACTAGAAGATTTTTCAAATTTGATTCTTGAATGAATCTTTTTACTTTCTGTGCAACATATTTCTATGTTAAACAGCGCCTAGTACAAAATGCTTAACCAGTATTCCCTGCTATACAAATTCAGAAGAATCTTTGTCAAGTTGAAGAACACAGTATGTTAAAAACATGAGTTATTCACTTATACTGGCAACTCTTGATATTGGTGCCTTCCACACTATGAACATGACAGACAAAGAAAGCAGACAAAATATACAGTTCCTCAGGTAGACAAAGGAACATCCCTTCACTGCTATTATGTAAAAAGGTGAATATGCATGTGACACCTGTTTTATACCTTTTTACCAAATAGCAGTGAAGGGATGTTCCTTTGTCTGCCCGAGGAACTGTATACTTTGTCCGCTTTCTTTGTCTGTCATGTCCATAGTGCCATCTCCATATTTCTCATACTTTCAGGTTGTGCGCCAAAGTATGCTTGTATTTGAGGGTTTTTACAGCTTCCCTGGTTTCCGAGTGAAAGGCCACTGCTGTCGAACAAACATGCCGTCTAACACAGCTATGAGGGGCTTTGGTGCCCCACAGTCATTGGCTATCATGGAGCAGATCTTGTCAGAAGTAGCGATTGCGACAGGTGTCTCGTCGAGGAAGGTAAGCCCATGTAGCCTTGAGTGTTTTTTTTTTAACCCATCAAGGAGATGAGTTTTCCAACAGGGTACAGTCAAACCTGCTTTAGTGACCACCTGTCTATAAAGACCACATTTGTTGTTTCCCTTGAAAATGGTTTCTCATTGAAAAATGTAATAAAGGAACCTGTCTACAAAGACCACTTTTGTGTTTCCCGTGAGCGGTCGCTATAGACAGGTTTGACTGTACCAGTAAATTATCTGCTTTGCTTCTCCAAATTGACAACAACAACAAATTGTTCTGTCGCTTATTCAAAAACATTGTGTATTTATAGTGAGCCTTTATTATCAAATGCAGCAAAATGTTGCCAATTTACACATTTTACCATATGTATGTGTTGCTAAGAAAAGATTGAAATGCTCATTTTCCCTAGACATTAACATTAATAAGCATCAATTCTATTACAACAGAAAGGAGCTTGATTTAAGCAGAATAGAGAGGTAACCTCTAACCGATCCTAAGCTTGATTTCAAAGCAGTTTTAAGGGACTTTGACTACCCTCAAGGAATAGCTATCATCATTTCCACCAATGAATGTGGTAGAATCTATGAAATTGCTGAATGATTAGCCATGACTCCTGATTGATAATGACTAGAGTATCGGGTAATACGTTCTGTTGGAGACGTACAATGCTATTCAAAATATCTATACAAAATATTTAAAACCACAAATGAATGACATTATATTGGCCCTAAGAAATCCATTATGAATTAAAGTATCTTTGTGTACTACAGTTGTATTCTGATCAAGGATTCAAATCCTCTCTTCTTCAATACAGTCTCCTTTTAATTTGTCATAAACCATTCTTGTCATGAGAAAAACAATTTTCTCACAATTTTTTCATCTCGCTCTCAAGGTGCAAGAGCTCAACTTCAAACCTGATGGAGCGTTGATGATAGAGGGCGCTAATCCCATGGAAATGGACATCTTTAAGGAATGCTGGGATAGGTGTCTCCAACTGAGTGACTATGAGAAAAGACTGAATGCAGTGGAGCAGTTCAATAGGTGACTGTGCTCTCCATAATTCACTCAGATGCTCTCGCACTGAATAAACTTGAGTATTTCAAATACTTTGGGTTTCAAACCTGACCACAAAACAGGCTCATGTAGTTTTTTTTTTACTTTTTCAGCTTTTTTGCTTATTAAAAGAACACAAAGTATGCTTCTATTTACTGTATGTAGTATGAATACTCAATCTTCAAACACAGAACTCAATTGATTAGGAATAATTAAGTAATTAACAGTAGACGAGTAGTGGAGAAAATTATCATCGAGGAGAGGTTTTTTGTACAGCTTGCTTTCAGTTTCTTACTTTGACTTTGTCAGTGCTGCAGCTCTGTGTCAAGGATTGCAAACATCTGAAGTTTTTCATGACTGATTAAGGCCTTGTTCAGATAGGATGCGGCAAAACCAAGGAATGTCTTAACCCTTCACTTACAGGAACCTGGTGGTCCCTGTGTTAAGCCTATGGGAATTAGATAATTCAGTAGCCAACGGGTTAAAAATGACTTGAAGTGTTGTACTTGTCACATTTCCATATATCTTTAAAGAGCTTGGTGAATATGCGAAGGACCTTTGTTGTGGGCAGTTGGCATTCATATACCCATAACAAAATCTGTGGGATTTTTTTTTTAATGAGGCAGTTTACCGCGCTATATCTCAACAAGCCTGAATTCTTCCATCACTCCATCCATGTATCACTTTTTCAATTCATTTCAGGGTGAATACTTGGAAGAAGCGCGGTCTTTCCATCGTCCCCACTAAACATGGAATCGGAATATTTGGTCTTATGAGCCTCAATCAGGTGGGTTGTTGATTTTTTTGTATACCGTATTTGCCGGCGATAAGACCGCACCGCCACATAGGGCCGCACCCCCGATTTTGGCGTTTAAAAAAAAAAAAAAAAAACACTTTTTGTCGAAGGTGGGATTCGATCTCTTGCGGACACATGTGGATTGGGACTCGTAACCAGGGCCTTAGACCGCTCGGCTATCCCGACTCTAATGCCATCAATGCAGTTTTCTCTGATGTATACATTGAAATGGTTTTGAAATGGCGACTTCGCGTGCTGGATGCTTCGCGGCAGCTCCGTTAAACGGGCCCTTCTTTTACTTTTGCAAAGCATTGGCACGAACTTAGATCAAGATCTATCGGAAGATGCTGTTTTTGGAAGATTATTTTCGTCTTCATGTCAACAATGCAAGATAAAATTGTCGGTAAGATGTGTGGAAATGTCCTGTACCATAGTGGTATAGTTATTGTACCGTTCGTAGTCCCATATGTGCAAATTCGTGCTGGTTTTGACTTACTTTTTTTTGTTTTTTACTCTTTCGCCGTAAACGCCGCACCCCGACTTTTTGATATTTTCTCTTCCAAAAATACTGCAGCATTTACGCCGGCAAATACGGTACCCATGCTAGCAATTTTGGCATCAGACAGTGATGGTAACAAAGGGTGGGGAAATAGTCAATTTCATCATTATATTAAAACAATGGCTGGTCTACCATTACTACAGTGTTAATTTCATGCTAACAATTCACAACAATTTCTTTAAAAAGGTTTTAACAAAATGAAACTTCCCTTTGAAACACCAGGTGAGTTTGCAGTTCCATGGTGACTTTATAAGTCTCATTCATAAAGTTAAGCATACACACAAAGCATCTACAGAGGGCTACATTACATAATCGTGACACCTACAGTAAGTCGTACTATCACCCAATGTTGCTGAGTACTCATAATTGGTATACGGTAATTGGCAATACATTTGATTCATTTTACACAGGGAGCAGCCCTGGTTCACATTTACACCGACGGATCGGTCTTGGTCAACCATGCCGGCATTGAGATGGGGCAGGGCCTCTACACTAAACTTATCCAGGTATGTAGTCAGGTGTTTTTTTTTTGGGGGGGGGGGGGGCTGATACTTCTGTTGTACTTCCGTCAGCCTCATAGGGGACCCACACGTTTGATATGCTGGCTCCTGCCTCTCTTTACCTTGTTTTTTTCTTTCTATTTAATATCTGGTTTTCTTTGCACTCTCGTATGATATTACCTACATTCCAGAATCAAGGTGACTGTCATAGATGTTAATCAAATTCTCTTGTTCTCTCGGTGCATTCAAGACCAAATTCATCATGAATTTTCTTCAAGTCACCTTCATTCCAAGAAATGTCTAAGAAACTATTATAGAAGAGTGCGAAACTTGCTAGGTTGTACTACACATACTCAGGCAGCATTTGCTCTGCAGCAAATACCCTACAGTAAACTACTTCCAAACTTCAGTCCTGAACCGAACACTACACCCAACCCTAACCCTAAACCTAACCTGAAACCCATCCCTAAACCTAACCTGAAACCCAGTTGCTACAATAATCACAATCCTATATTTTTAATGAAATATAGCCCAGAGAATTGTAGCCGGGCAAATGTAGCAGCACCACTTTTCGGGCAGATCCATTGTGAATTGTTACACAACAATTGACACAACAAATTAACAGGCAGTTTTTCTCAGGATCATAATACCAAGCCATCATGGACAAAACACTAATTGATCGGTTATTTTGATGTTTGACCTTGAGGTTGCAAGCAGAGCGCTAGATGTACCTGTGAGTAAGATTCATACCAGTCCTACAGCTGTGGATAAGGTGCCTAATACAACAGTAACAGGTGGAAGCACTGGCACCGATTTACATGGTACTGCTGTTAAGGTAAATATGTAAACTTTACTAGTCCTCCTTCCTCTTATCATTCTTTAGCATTTCTTTATTCATCGTTTCTCACATTTGTCATTCTCTATCTCTCTCACCCTCTTTCCCATCCTTTCTCTCACATTTTTCTCTCTCCTCACATTAGCCCCTTTTTTCCATCCTTCTTCCTATTTTCTCTCTCTCTCTCTCTCTCCTTTTCTCTGTATCATCTCTTTTTACCTTCTGTCCTGTCTTGAAATCAACATTTTAAACTTTTTTTTTGCAGTGCCCTCCAACCATTAATACTGGGATTAAAGATTATTTTGTATTAATTGTTATGTATTAAAATTTGTTATGATGCAAATGCTTCTTTGGGCTTTACAGTTGTTATTATCATTATGCCAGTTTACTGTATTTCAAACCTACACACCTGTACAAGTGTTTGAAGAAGATTTTTTTTCTTCTAAAGGATGTTTATTTGTGCATTGAAGATGATCAAAATGCTTCTAAGAAATCGTCTACTTGTCCTGTTTACCCTACACACAGGCTTATTGAAGGGCAATCACATCATTCATTTGTCTGAAAGCAGAGAAATAAGAGAAATCGAAGGGTGAAAGTTTGAAACAAATCTGACCAATAATAAGAAAGTTATGAGGGTCAGAAATTGTGGGATTACTGAATGTATGCAAATAGCAATTTGGTGATTTGATTGTGAAATATTCACAGACTGCTCTCCTACTTTGTGACAGTGACGCCAACAATTCAGCCAAGTTGAAGTTCCTATACATATAGTGATTACAAATTTGAAAAATCCATAACTTTCTCATTTTGGGTCAAATATTGTTCAAAATTTGATTGATCTGCTACTCTGATTATTTTAGATTAGTTTACTACAAAGGTTTGATTTCCCTTTTAATTCTTTTATTCCTTATTTTAGATAGCCTGCGATATCTTAAAGGAGCGCCTTGAGCCATACCAAACAGCCAACCCTAAAGGTACATGGGAAGATTGGGTAAGGAACTTTTTCTCTTATACTTATGATTATTAGAATTCAAGTGAGACTCTGCAATCCCCCATAAGATCAGAAAAGAAATGAACTTACACCCCCCCCCCCATATATATATATATATATATAAGTCGTTCAACTGGATTAAAGAAAGTGGAGCATACAGAGTGATGTTTTTAGTATAGTACACCACTTTGGAACTCAAATCATGCTAGTGCAGATTAAAATAGTTTTTGATGATTGGACCCCTGTATTGATTTAATTGTAAATGTAGGTTATTTTACATTGTTTACAAGTTTGATTTATATAAATTATCATTGATCTTAATTGTGAGGGATCAAGTTTCCAGTAAATCACAAGTAAAGTTTTATTGATTTTGTTTTCCTCTTTACAGGTCAGTGCAGCCTATAATGATCGAGTTAGCCTGTCCACTACAGGCTTTTACAAGTAAGTCCATTCTTCTTCTTCTCCTTCTGGCAATCTTCAAAGGGCTAGATGCAACATATCACAAAGATGCCCTAAAGATTCCAAGCGGTGCAGGGTAGATAAAATAATTTTTAGCGTACACTACATTTGCTGGAAGGCTAGTTGGAGATTAATAGAAGAACTCATATGCTGAAACCCCATCAAACTATAACCTTCTCTCCTTGACAAGATTAGTACATGTAAGCCTAGATTTAATGTTACAGCAGTCAATGTTGAATCAAAGCTTTAAAGAGAAGGTTGAGTTCTTGAAAAAGGTGAAAAATAATTTTTGAGCGTTATCATTGTATTATGCAAGTGCGGAAGAACATCAGGTAAAAAATGTTCCCTGAAAAGTATGGCTCTTCAAATGCCTCAATATTCTAAATATGGCCTAGCTGTAACATCATAAAAGTCAGGACAGAGTTTAATGCACATGTTCGTGTAGTCCCATATACCAGTACATCTTTCTGTGTACAGTGCTTGTAACTGTACCAAAACTGGGCCAAATTTCTCATCATTTTGATGATTCCAGAATCTTGCAGTACACACCAATACCTATATGCCAGATGTTCAACCATTTCTGATCGATTCCACAACCTTTCTTTCATAATGCAATCGCATGACCAGAACTCAACTTTATCTTTAACCTGAATTCCAACTTGAAGACATGGCTGTTTCAATTGTAAACAAGCCTTTGTGCATTCTTCCATTTGTCTCCCAAGTATGTACTTTACAAGGTGAAAATTTACCTTTGAATAAAAAAATTAATGCTTGACAGAGGAAAATGGCACTTTGTGAGCTCTTGATTCACCTGTATTTATCCTTGTGGAACTCAGAATAACATTTCTAGATAGACTGTTCCATACAGATGTTGGTTGTTGTAGTTGTTGTTGATGGATGTGGTTTTGTTGGTTTTGTAATTCTTGATGGTGGTGGTTATGTAGTTGATGTTAATGGTGTTGGTTTTGTTGTCATTGTTTTTGTAGATCTACTCTTTTCACTCTTCCCATTGTCTAGGAGGCCTTTCTCACCCTTTGACTGGAATACCCTGACCGGTAACCCATACTTCTACTTCACCATGGGGGCCGGTGTGTCGGAGGTGGAAATTGACTGCCTCACAGGAGAGCATCAGTTACTACGAACCGATATCGTCATGGACGTTGGCAAGAGCATCAACCCAGCCATAGACATAGGCCAGGTAGGGATGCACTTGTAATTGTGAATTTTAGTTAAAAGTCCTGCAACAGAAATGAGTTCAGATTAATCACAAGTAATGATAGTGGAACATAAGATTTGTATGCAAGTATATTTGTATATTTTTATTTGTAATAAATGAGTTTCTCCAGTTTTACCTGGAAGCCCAATACCACCTTTAAGCCTCGTTTAGAACTTCAGATATGAAGCGGCAAAACCGCGGCTTATTAATGATGACACAATTTGTAATTACGCTTCACATTTCTCTATCTTATAATACAGAGATTAGTGAACATGCACGAGTCCTTTGTTGAGAGCATTTGCCATTCATTTAACATGTGAAGGAGAAAAAGTGATTTTTTCTGCAGTTTACTGTGCCTTATTTTTATGAGCCTTTAAGATGCATATCAGACAATAGAGCAGATGGGGGTTAAGGAATGGGTTCTCCCAGATTAATCTACAAGTATTATTTACGACGAAGCATGGAATCACAAAATACACAAAAGAAACGATTAATTCTGGGGAGTTCTGGATTTTGCTTATAGCTTTTAGCTCTAGGTTTAAATACAAATACAGATATCCGCTTTTTAAAATGAATATCTGCCGCATTGAAAGTCATATGTATATTATTTTTTTTGTTTTTACCGGTAAATATTTGATTAAATGCAATACACTAACTTCAACTCTTCACGTAATGTAAATATGTATCGGTATGTTATGTTGAATTCAAAACACACGGACAAGCACAAGAATGGACTTTCTTATACTTCTGCCAATTCGTCCCTATTTTCACGAAGTGACGGTAGTGAATAAAAATCGCATTCACTTTGTGTTACGATTTTCCTCACTACCGTCACTTCGTGAAAATAGGGACGAATTGTTATTGGTTTATATTGAGTAAAGTCCAGACTATTAGTCAAGCTAGACTGTGCCCTATAATTTGATGACATCTATGTGATCTCTTTCTTCATCTCTCTCTCTATAAAAGATTGAAGGAGGCTTCCTCCAGGGCTATGGCTACTTCACCATGGAGGAGAAAAGATTCAACCAAGAGGGCGCCCTAACCACCGACAGCCCTGACTCCTACAAGATCCCATCAGCTAAGGACATTCCAAAGGAGTTCAACGTGACCCTCCTGAGAAACATGCGCACCCCTGAAGATCATCTCTACTCCTCTAAGGTAAAACAAACAAAAAACTTGGCAGCAGGATGCAAAAGCAAGTTTGGGTCAACTTTTGAAACTGTTTAGTTTTGATTGCTGGAATAATAATATAACTGTTAAAGGTTAAGACCAGTTTTGGAAATGCCCCCCTCTCAAAAAATGAAATGGAAGCTCTTATTATCAATCATGTGAAAGAATATGTTTTGAATAATACGTGATAATACAAATTTATCCGAGAAGCCGCCTACTAATTGATATATTTGGTAAATTATTATATCTATTTGGACCTGATAGATATTGCGCATGTGTCGTGGAATCCTATATATATCTTTCTGTGTACATTGCTTGTAACTTTACCAAGACTGGGCCAAATTTCTTATCATTTTGATGATTCCAGAACCTTGCAGTACACACCAATACTTATATGCTAGATGATCAACCTTTTCTGATCGATTCCACAACGTTTCTTTCATAATGCAATAGTAACATGACCAGAACTGAGCTTTATCTTCAACAACATGAATAATATGCATACTGATATTTTTTGTGTAGATGTATTCAAAGAGTTGATAGGATGTGCCTTTCTTGAAATGCACATCCATCTTCCTAGCATCCATGTTCTCTATTCTGCTTGGCACGTGATGATTTACTGAGTCCATTTTAAAGTCGGGTCAGGAAAGGGATGAAATTTCATTTCAATCTCGTCACTGGAACAGACACTTTGTCCATGAGATGACTGCCAGACTCATCTAGGCTTAGGAAATATTCTGTGTACTTAGATGAATATTGAAATTGATAGTAATGGAGATTTTAAAGTAGGCAGAGAAATGTTTCCCCAAAACCTCTTGCTGGTTTCTGCAATACTGAATTTCAGTGATGAGCTTTCTTTAAACTCTTAATCATTTCCAACTACAAGTTGCCTTGTTTTAATCCCTTGGGAATGACAGGTATCTGAAGACAATGGATTAATAAGTAAATTCTACTTTCTATTTACAGGGTATCGGAGAACCGCCCTTCTTCATTGGGGCTTCTGTATTTTTTGCCATCAAGCACGCCCTCACGAGTTCTCGCTCTGACAATGGCTTGGGTGGTGTCTTCAAGTTCAACGCACCAGCCACTGTCCAGAATGTACGCATGACATGCGGTGATCTGAAGACGGAAGAATAATTTGTGGTGGAGGGAGGATATGTGAAATTACTTTTGTAATGCAAGTTTAAGTAGAGCTTGTGATACATGTTGGCAGAAATACCTTGGACAGGTTTGAATGTGGAATAAAAGGTTGTGTGTGATTGATGTATAGGGAACCTACTACCATTATTATAGTCATTACTTTCCTTATTATAAAGGCAAGGTAAACTTCAAAGTCATTTTATTTTCCTTATTCCATGTAGAAAATATAGAATGTGACAATCATGTAAAATGTACTGTTCTTGAAATGATGTTACATTTCAATTCAAGTAATGACATGGATTGCTTTCTATTTCCACAATCTTGGTGTTTGCATAATTTTGCTTGCATATTCTGTCTAAAATGTCTTCCCTATTCAAAGTCAGCTTATGTCAATATACTCAGTACTTATTCATATGCAGTATATATGTATTAAAGTTCAGAATATTATTTCTAAAAATATTAATGGGGTAAATGCAATCATGAAGTGATTACTGGTGCTTTTTTCTTTCGTCAAACTTTTAGGTTTGGGCATCAGCTGCTTCTTCTGCAGCTTGATTGTAAAGAAACAAGATGAAGTTTATGTAATCACAGGCTACCAATAATATGGAAATATAATTTTTTTTTGAAGAACTTTTAAAGAAGAATTGCTCATTCAATGACAATTGGTGTGGGGCTTCGCATCTTATTTTACATATTTTTTTCTTTCTTGTTGATGAAAAGTAATTTATGTTGTATTACTGCTGTTTTTCTTTGTTTGGGGGAGAGGGGGGGGGGGGGTGTTGTTTTGTGTTTTTTTTTTTAATTTCTTTTTTTGAGGTGACATGATTTCACAAAATTTATCCTAATTATGTTATAAAATTATAACTTATAATTAAGTAATTTATCTTCTTATTTTTCTTTTTTAAAGTTTACTGGATTTTAGAATATATAGATTCATGACCACTTCACAGAGTGAACCTTGACAAACTGTTTTGAATAAATCGCTGAATTAATGAAAAAGACTAAGCAAATCTGTTTGCAACCGTCCTTGCAGTGTGTAATGTACAACTTACATTATGTTGGTGAATATACAAACTACATGCTGCATGTATATTGACTATACCTAACTGATCATTTCTGCATATCTTCAGTGGATTTCTATGTGTGAAACACATTGGACATTGTAGATGTTCTTGAAATGTAAACAGAATAGGAAATGAGAGCATTGTGTAAAAGTAAGAATGCAGAACTGTATTGAAATATAACTGGTATATATAATATAGTGATAAAATGTGCTATTATTAGTAATATTATTATCATTTTTATTTTTAATATAATTGATATTAGTGCTAACTGGCACTGCCTGTAAGAAAATAATTTCTGCTATTTGTACTTAATCTTTGTCATTATGATCTCATTGCTTTAATTATTACATAGTATTACCTATTTTGTTTCCTGTAATTTTGAAGTTTGCTTTTACTATTGTACAAATCCTGTAATTCGGCTTTCGAGCCCCGATTGATTTTTATTTCACTAAACCATTACTACTACATCACTATTATTAATATCAGTATTATTATTATCGTTATTATTGTTATCATTGTTATTATCCAAATTCCAAGTCATACAAGATATAGTTTTACTTTTTCAACCATATTTGCAGTAATTTGATAGTATATTTTGGTAATTGCCAAGTGCCAAATTCTTTCAAGAGACTCAGATATAGGACCTATTTTTAAGAATGTTGCCAAGTTTTCAAGGTCCAATATCAGAGGCAAAATTGTCAGTGACAAATTATTTTTCTTCTAATATTGTAACCTCTGTTATTCTTACTATTACAAATATGTACAGTACCTATGGAAAATTAAAAAAAATTGCTGCTGCTTTGAAATATAAAATGTAATGCATGAATTAAGACAAGTTGAATGGATTTATGGTAATGTATCTTAATTTGCAGAGAATATATCACATGCAAAATACTAAGACATATTGTATAGATTTATCTTAATGTATTTTAATTTGCAGAGACTATATCAAAATTAGATTTTGCTGTGACATATATATGTGTTTCATTATTAAGATGCTGATAATGATGATGTAAACGTTATCTGGAAGTAACATCAATAAAGGGTATACTGATACATTTTGAATATATTAAGGATCTTCTTTGTCATTATTTTTTTTCTACAGCCTACTTAATTAAAAAAAAATTAGTTGAATTGAATGAAATAATCAGTTAAGTATGTTGACATTGGACAAATGTAACCAGATTTTGAAGGAAAATGTGTTTTGATTTGATGTGTTTTAATTTGACATTTTTATAATTTAAAATTACAACTCATATTGAACTGACAATTGTATAATATAAAGTGAATGCCAAGCCTGGTCCCTCAACTTGGGCTGTACAGTATATAACTGCGACATTCAGTTGAAAGTCAGAGCCGGCGGAGCGACTTCCAAAGTGGGGGGGGGGGGGGGCACTCACAAAAAAGGGCACTTTCTGGGGGAAAGGGCACCTTCCAAGGGAAATCTCAAAGGCGAAACTATACAATACTTATCGAAAGAGTTAAGACACTTATTAGAAAAGAAAAGAAGCATGTGTCAAAGTACAAAGGCTAATTATCAAGGTGAAAATGGGGCACTGTTTACACCTAAAAAAAAAGAGGCACGCACCAGGGATGAAAAAGGATTTTATGGGGTAGGGGGAAGGGGGGGGGGGGGGGTAAGCGGAGACTTTTTTTTTTTTTTGGTCTCGAAATTTGAAAATTTGACATTTTTTCGTTGGGGGGGGGGGTAAGGTCACTTTACGTTAGCCGTGGGCATAATTTTTTTTTTTTTTTTTTTTTTTATTTAAAAAAAAAAAAAAAAAAAAAAAAAAAAAAGGGGGGGGGTTTAGTTTTTTTTTAGGGGGGTTTACATACATAAAAAATACCAAAGGGGGGTTTGAACTCCCAACCCCCCCCCCCTGCGTACGCCCCTGATCGGAGGGGAAAGGGGGCTTTTGTGAGAAGAGGTGAGTGACTCTTATTACAAAGAAAAGAGGCACGTGTTGAAATAAACGGGGCACTCGTCAAAGATGAAAAGGTAAAATTATAAGAAGGGGAAGGGGCACTTAAAAGAAGGAAAATATTCATTTATTAGGAAGGAAAAGGGGGACGTGTCAAAATAAAAGGGGCACTTTTGGGGTACTTGAAAAAGTGAGGGCACTGTGCCACCCTCCTGCCCCCCGGGAGCGCCGCCTCTGCGACAGGCGCAGCTCGCTGACGACTAATATAGTATTTATTTGGATGCTGAAAAAAATAAGCACCCGGAAAGGGACCTACACTGTACATTGGAGTGCCACATGCATGCCTAAATAGATTTGTTCTAAATTCCAAAATACTCGCACATAAAATTGGTAAAGTCCTGAAAATTACACATACCCTTTTAGAGAGCCCCTTGTTAACTTAGACCTAACGAGATAGTACACAATGGGAAAGTTTGTTTGTACTTTGATTGTACCTGTTCAATGCAATCCTAGAATACTGACATTACGGGTCAAGGAGAAAAAAGAATTGACTTTGTTCTAAATTGTATTATGATCGCACATAAAATGGCAAAGTCCTGAAAATCACACACCCTCTTTTGGAGAGCTCGTTGATAACCGGGAAATAACGAGATAGTAAACAATATGAAGGATTGTTTGTACTTTGATTGAACCTGTTCAATGCAATTCTAGAATACTGACAATATGGGTCAGGGACAGGGGCGTAGACAACGGGGGGGGGGGGGGATGAGGGGGATGCATCCCCCCACCTCACAAGGTGGGGGGGATGGCATGTACAATCATCCCCCCCCCCAGGTTTTGGGGAATGATATTTGCTTACTTAACAAGTCATAATGATGATAATAATAGTAATAATAATAATGATAACAATTACAATATTAATAATAATAATAATTTTGATGATGATAATAATAATCCTCATCATTATTGTGTTTATTGTTATTAGCCGCATTCACACGGTGAAAGCCAATTCAGACGGTAAAAAAAGAAAATCTTACAAGTATTTTGTGGTTATCTTGTGGTTTGGAAACCACAAGATAACCACAAGATTAAACTGGCGCGGATCTACGGGGGGGGGGGGGGTTAGGGGGTTTAACCCCCCCCCCCCCTTTGGGCGGCCCAAAAAACAAACAAAAAAAAAGGGGGGAAGAAAAAAAAAGAGGAAAAAAAGAAGAAAAAAGAACGCACGCTGGAGAGAAACCCTTTCAAGTGCAAATATTGTGAGAAGATATTCAACTCATCTGGTAACTTAACCAAACACATGATAACTCTGGATATAACTATGTATTTAACTGTTACTTGATTTAAAAAGACGTTATCATGCACTGCTTTTTATGGTCTCCATTGTGTTAATAGATGCCAGGAAAACATCACTTACGGGGTTCAAATAAACACCCCCCAAAAAATCGGCCCGCCGCTTCGCGGCTCGTGGACGATGCTCCGCATCGTTATTATTTTGGTCAACCCCCCCCCCCTTAGCAAAAAGCTAGATCCGCCCCTGAGTCATCCCCCAGGTGTACGAACCTGTCTACGCCACTGGTCAGGGAAGTAAAAATGGACTTTGTTCTCCTTCTTTTATATTTTGCAGTCATATGAATTACATGTGCAGCTCTGCATCAGAACAGGGAGGTGAGACGTATACATGAGATTGATAAGAACAATTTTAATCTGGAGTGGAAACAAAAGTTATCAATTAAGGTAAGCCATATCAATTTGCTTTGAACTCGGAAACAATGATTGTCGGGATTTTGATGTATTTCATAAGGAATAGGCCCTACCGGTAGGTTGGTTAGATTCAAGACTACAATATCGCAGTGATGAATGGATGGATCGTTACCTTTTAAGCCATTGCTTATGACACTGTAAAATACACTTCGGTTTTGTCGAGACGACAAAACTACTGCATCAATGTAATTATATTTAAGGTTGTGATCTGTATAATGTTAACAAGCTAACCGAAGAAAATACATATAATTAAATGTTTGCATATACTGAATAGAAAAACTAGGGCCGGCTCATGAATGCGTCGTTGATGATTATGATGATTATGTAATGCGCAGCTAGCATGGCTAAGGGTCTGTCAAAGCTTTTACAGGTTGTGTCGAAACAGAGTCTACTTTGTCACTTTAACAAAGTAATTTCCGTGTCTTGAGTGAAGCCTAAGCGAGCTCCACAATGTCTGTGTCTAAATATAGGGTGTATATTCTTTTTATGGCACATGCAAATGAACTCTAAGTTCAGACCATATTATTATGCACTATACGTCACAAACAATCAATTGCAAATCCCGCAAATCAAGCGTAAGTCCTGCGAATAATTGCAAATTTGCAATTGTTCGCAACTCAACTTTCTTGCAACGCCCCATTAGTAAAAGAAAGAGAGAGGCAAAGAGAGAGAGAGAGAGAGAGAGAGAGAGAGAGAGGGCATACAAGCCAGATGTAGTTAATTAAATTGTTAAAACTTTAATCTTAACAAAATCCTAGGAAATAAGGAGACTAATGGGGAGTTGCAACAAATGCAAGCGATTGCAAATATCAGTTGCAAATTTTGCAACTTGCAATCAATGATATCCCAACCCTTCTTGCAACGCCCCATAGAGTTTGTGCATGCAAACTAGAGCCAATTAATAGAAGTTTTCTGATCTTGTATTACACCTATTTTCAGATTTGCCCAGCTGTTCCACCAACCTCAACTAATCTGAGCCTCCTAATTGCTGGCTCATTTAATCTCCAAGATGTCAGACGAAGTTTCCATGACAACCGATGAGGCGCTCATCTTCTTGCGAGATGTTCTTGGTATGGAGACTACGAAAGACCAAATTCACAATAATCGGATAGCTTTCTTGGACGAACTGACAATGGCATGGATCCATCACATTCCCTTCCAGTCCATCAGGGCAATCTCTGTGCCCCACCCCGAACGTCATCTCCCATCTTTCGCCGAGATCAAGAAGGATCTGTTCTCTAAGATTGGCGGTCTCTGCTATGATCACTCTCTGAGTACCTTGGCCGTCCTCCGCGCCCTGGGTTTCGACGTCTCATTGGTGACGTGCGATGTCAGCTTCCAAGACAGCCACGCCCTGGTTCTCGTCCACAACGCTTCCTCTCAAGGCAGCATCCATATGGTGGATGTTGGAACTGGATACCCAACGTTCAAGGCCATACCGTTCGATTTTGAGCTCGTGTCCCCCGAGTACCATCATTCCTATCTCCGCTACCGGTTCATCCGCGAAGGCGACCTCATCATCCGTCAACACCATGCCGATACCGATCCCAGAGCTTCCCTGTGGCCAGACAGAGTCAAGGATGGCTGGTATTCCTTCATCTACATCCATTACGACAAGCCGCAGAAGATCTCCTACTTCGATAGGGTCATGACAACACTCTACACAGAGAAATTATCCACCCCACCGTATCTTACAAGCCCTCGGTGCATGACCTGGCCAAAAGGTCGATTCATCTGCATTAAAGACACGACTTTATTGGTTGAAAAAGAAGAGGGACGGGTTGAAAAATCTTATCTTAAGTCACTAGATGATATCGTTGCTGCGTATAAGAATTACTTCCCGCAATTCCCTGAAGATATTGTGAAAGCGGCTATGAATGACGCATGGGTTGATCTTGACTTCTCAAAGATACTACCAGCTACTGGACATGCCTAGTCCATTTGATTTATACTTAGTTTTGTTACCTTCATTCTCAACTGAAATATTCCTCTTCATGAGAATATTGTGAGCAGATCCTTTTTTTTTCAATCGATCAGTTATTAAATTTGGGGGATTTTTTTTCTTCTTCTCTCTTTGCCTATTAGAAGTGTTTATTCAAATAATAACATAATTTTGCTTACAATTTACCAAAACAATGGAACATCAATAATATACAAATTATTTGTTCAAACACAACTAATTAAATTCGCAGGAAATTTCATATTTTGTACTTGTAATGTTCGTTTATTTTTATTATGTTAGTCATTTCTCTCTTACATAAATATATCGAATTCAAATCTCTATTTTCATACCCATACTTATTACGAAAAATAATCGTTTTATAAATAGACCAAAAAGCAATCGTCATTATCAAATCGATTTGCGAATTCATTTTGAGTAATAAACCGATATCTATCTCTATTTTAAGATTGAAAGCATGTAAAACCAAATCCTTTATATATTCAAAGAAGGTTTCGTTTGCCTTCATTTGGGGGATGTTAATTGTAGGGTTCCATCGATCCTTTGAATAAGTATTATCCTGTTTTTCACGATGGTTCAAGGATTATATTTCTAAATGTCGTCGATTAAAGTCATTATTGCTGCAAACATTTCAAAGTCAATCACCATGTGATGAGACAAAACATTTCCGACTAAAATCATACTACGTGTCCTATCTCCAATGATCACGGGTGAAAGATGTGGTGATAGGACAAGGCACACACAGAGAGAGAGAGAGATAGATAGAGGAAGAGGAAGAGAGAGAGAGAGAGAGAGAGAGAGAAGAGAGAAAGAGAGAGAGAGAGAGAGAGAGAGAGAGAGAGAGAGAGAGAGAGAGGGTGGTTGAAGGCAAAGTGAAAAGTGGATACGACATCCCATTATATTCTTAGTATATTTTTTTTCATTTGGCATATCATTTCATAAGTACTATTAGTGCCCTCCCCATCCGTTCCTCATGGCATAAGTGCCTGCCCCTAAATACACGCTACGCCAATGATCTTCATTACCATAGATTTGTTTTTATATAAAGGGGGGAATCAACAAAAAAAGACGGGCAAACAAAAATGTTTAACAAACGTTGGTAACTACAATTTAAACATTTTACTTTTTTTATTACGGTAGGGAGGGGGTGTTGAGTGGGGAAAAAAAATATTATATTTTTTTATGAAAGGTGACTACTTTCGTGAGCATAAATTATCTGTCTCATCGTGGGTTTTACAAATTCGTACAAATAGATCTTAGATCTGTTGTTAGGGATGATTTACTGACGCGGGAGGGGGCAGGCGGTGGGGCACAGTGCCCCCCAACATTTTTAAGTACCCCCAAAGTACCCATTTTTACATAGGAAAAGAGCCCTTATTACTTTGCAAAAGTGCCCCTTCCCCCTTTCATCTCTGATAACTGCCCCTTTTATTTTGACACTTGCCCCTTTTCCTTCGACAAATTCCTATTTTTCCGTTCCAATAAGTATCCATTTGAATCTCATAAGTGCCCTGTTTAATCTCTAGTTAGTGCCCCTTTTCATGTACGAGAAGTGCCCCTTATAATTTTTGATAAGTGCTCTTTTCATTTCTGAAGAGTGCCCCTTTTCTCTTCTGATAACTGCCCCTTTTATTTTGACACGTGCCCCTTTTCCTTTCTAATAAAAGCTATTTTTCTTTCTTATAAGTGCCCCTTTCATTTTAGCATGTGCCTCTTTTTCTTTTTGATAAGAGCCTCTTCCCCCTTCTCGTAAAAACCCCCTTTCACCTCTGATAGTATCCTTTATCATAAGCGCCCCTTTTTCATTCTCATAAGTGCCCCTTTTCACCTCTGATAATTTTCCTTTTAACAATGACGTGTACCCTTTCCCCTTTCTAATAGGGGACCTATCCTCTTTTCATAAATGCCCCTTTCACCTCTTATAAATGCCTCTATCAGTATCTGGTGGGTTCCTCTTTTCTGTTGACAAACACCCATTTCCCATTCTCATAAGTGCCCTTTTCATCTCTGTAAGTGCCTCCTTTCAGTTGTAAAAAGTGACCCATTTTCATCTGTGATAATTTTCTTTTGTACTTTGACACGTGTTCCTTATGAGATAATTATATGTTACTTATCAAAGGTATTTTCAGTCTTCCGTTATGAGAATGTGCTTATAACCCCATCAGGATTGGGTTTTGTCTCTTTATTAGATGTACTTTTTCGAACTGCGACTTCACAAATTCAAACAAACACACCCAGCTGCAATGAATGATGCTTAAGTAATATCTTGTATAATGTGAAAAGAGAATCAAATATTGAAATCATCCCTGATAATGTAATCACAATGAAGGACATATACTAAAGTTTAAAAGAATGTATATTTTCGCTTTGAGATTTCCCTTTGTAGGTGCCCTTTTTTCTGAAAGTTCACTTCTTTGTTGCTGCCCTTTCACTTTGAAAGTCGCTCCGCCACCCCTGGGCCGGTATTCAATTCAATACTTAGAATAAGTACGAAATTTACTAAGTAAATTACTAAGCTAAGAACTGTATTTATCTCTATACATAGAGAAAGGAAAGTAAACACAAAAAGAGGGAGAAAGGAAAAGCAAGAGACAGAGGATAATGGATAGGGAAGAGGAAAAATAATGAGAAAATAAACTCCTAGAGGTAGAGAGGAGTTAGAAGGAGGATGAAATGAGGAGAGGTAAGGTGGAAGGAGGAGAGGTAAGAGGAAAGGAGGAGAGGTAGGGTGAATGGAGGAGAGATAGGTATGTGGGGGTAGGTTGGATGGGGGGGGGTGGTAGAGGTAAGGTGGATGGAGGAGAGGTAGGGTGGATGGAGGGTTGGTAGAGGTAGGGTGGATGGAGGAGAGATGGGTACGTGGGGGTAGGTTGGATGGAGGGGTGGTAGAGGTAGGGTGGATGGAGGGGTGGTAGAGGTAGGGTGGATGGAGGAGAGAGGTGAAAGAGGGAGGTAGGTTGGATGGAGGGGTGGAAGAGGTAGGGTGGAAGGAGGAGAGGTAGTGTGGGTGGAGGGATGGTAGAGGTAGGGCGGATGGAGGAGAAATGGGTACGTGGGATGTAGGTTGGATGGAGGGGTGGTAGAGGTAGGGTAGAAGGAGGAGAGAGGTAGGGTGGATGGAGGAGAGATGGGAACGTGGGGTAGGTTGGATAGAGGGTTGGTAGAGGCAGGGTGGAAGGAGGAGAGGTAGGGTGGATGGAGGGGTGGTAGAGGTAGGGTAGATGGAGGAGAGATGGGTACGTGGGGGGTAGGTTGGTTGGAGGGGTGGTAGAGGTAGGGTGGAAGGAGGAAAGGTAGGGTGGATGGAGAGGTGGTAGAGGTAGGGTGGATGGAGGAAAGATGGGTACGTGGGGGTAGGTTGGATGGAGGTGTGGTAGAGGTTGGGGTGGAGGGAGGAGAGATGGGTACGTGGGGGTACGTGGGGTAGGTTGGATGGATGGGTGGTAGAGGTAGGGTGGAAGGAGGAAAGGTAGGGTGGATGGAGAGGTGGTAGAGGTAGGGTGGATGGAGGAAAGATGGGTACGTGGGGGTAGGTTGGATGGAGGTGTGGTAGAGGTTGGGGTGGAGGGAGGAGAGATGGGTACGTGGGGGTACGTGGGGTAGGTTGGATGGAAGGGTGGTAGAGGTAGGGTGGAGGGAGGAGAGATGGGTACGTGGGGGTAGGTTGGATAGAGGGGTGGTAGAGGTAGGGTTGAAGGAGGAGAGGTAGGGTGGATGGAGGGTGGTAGAGGTAGGGTGGATTGACGAGAGATGGGTGAGTGGGGTAGGTTGGATAGAGGGGTGGTAGAGGTTCGGGTGGATGGAGGAGAGATGGGTACGTGGGGGGGGGGGTAGGTTGGATGGAGGGGTGGTAGAGGTAGGGTGGATGGAGGAAAGATGGGTACGTGGGGGTAGGTTGGATGGAGGGGTGGTAGAGGTAGGGTGGATGGATGAGAGGTAGAGTGGAGGGGAGGTAGAGGTTGGGGTTGATGGAGGTGGTAGAGGTAGGGTGGATGGAGGAAAGATGGATTCATGGGAGGTAGGATGGGTGGTGGAGGAGAGGTAGTGTAGATGGAGGAGAGATGGGTACGTGGGGGGGGGGGTAGGTTGGATGGAGGGGTGGTAGAGGTAAGGTGGATGGAGGAGAGGTAGGATGGATGGAGGAGAGGTAGGATGGATGGAGGGTGGTGGTAGAGGTAGGGTGGAGGGAGGAGAGATGGGTACGTGGGGGGTAGGTTGGATAGAGGGTTGGTAGAGGCAGGGTGGAAGAAGGAGAGGTAGGGTGGATGGAGGAGAGATGGGTACGTGGGGGGTAGGTTGGATAGAGGGTTGGTAGAGGCAGGGTGGAAGAAGGAGAGGTAGGGTGGATGGAGGAGAGATGGGTACGTGGGGGTAGGTTGGATGGAGGGGTGGTAGAGGTAGGGTGGATGGATGAGAGGTAGAGTGGAGGGGAGGTAGAGGTTGGGTGGATGGAGGAAAGATGGATTCATGGGAGGTAGGGTGGGTGGAGGAGAGGTAGTGTAGATGGAGGAGAGATGGGTACGTGGGGGGGGGGGGTAGGTGGATGGAGGGGTGGTAGAGGTAAGGTGGATGGAGGAGAGGTAGGATGGATGGAGGAGAGGTAGGATGGATGGAGGGGTGGTAGAGATAGGGTGGATGGAGGGGTGGTAGAGGTAGGGAAGATGGAGGAGAGATGGGTACGTGGGTAGGTTGGATGAAGGGGGGGGGGCGGGTGGTAGAGGTAGGGTAGATGGAGAGATGGGTACGTGGGGTAGGTTGGATAGAGGGTTGGTAGAGGCAGGGTGGAAGAAGGAGAGGTAGGGTGGATGGAGGGGTGGTAGAGGTAGGGTGGATGGAGGAAAGATGGGTTCATGGGAGGTAGGGTGGGTGGAGGAGAGGTAAGGTGGATGGAGGAGATGTAAGGTGTAAGGAGGAGAGGTAAGGTAGAAGAAGGAGAGGTAGGGTAGATAGAGGAGAGATGGGTACGTGGGGGGGTAGGTTGGATGGAGGGGTGGTAGAGGTCGGGTGGATGGAGGGGTCGTAGAAGTAGGAAGGATGGAGGAGAGATGGGTACGTAGGAGGTAGGGTGGATGGATGAGAGGTAGATTGGAGGAG